GTCCCTTTTTAGTCTTTTTGATCTCTTGTCCGGTGTTACCGTGACAAAGCTACTCTTAAACCATAACTCCATTTTTCTCTACAAAGACTTTCATCTCGGTAATTAAGCTTATCACAAGAGGTGGTCAGTCAGCCATAGGCATCGATGGTCTCACTGGCTGGTCTTATCAATCTGCTTTCAAAATGATGTCCTGCATTCTTGGCATGGTGAGCCTTATGTTGGCACTTTATTCTATTCATTGACTTACTGGCTTCAGATGCACATGCATCTCGTCAAAACTCCTACACCAGAACTGACACTATAACTCAGGCATTGGAGAACATGGCCAAGAAAGATGGATTGCTGCATATGCACAAGAAGCCCAAGCTCAACATTCATGAAAGTGACTATAACAATGTGCTGGTGACTGTTCTTGACCCTGCTACTTTCTTCAGGTGGTCATCTATGGTTCATATTCATAATATTGTCATCAGAATAAGGGCTGATTTTTTGCTGTCTAGTATTATCACACGTATCATCTGCACACAATTATGCATGATACAGTATGGGATTTCATATTGGCACAATAGTTCTGATCAATGTGAAAGCCAAGTCGATCAAGGATACAAAGAATGCTCCACTGCAATGTCTCATATAGGAGGTGCATTCAAAGCTTTTACTTTCCATCATCGATGCACATGTCTGTTCAGGACATTGAAATGTGGTTGCATGGATTTGAAGAGGATGGTCCAATGTTCTCTATGTCACAGTGTGGAGATGGAATAAGGGCATGAGGGATGACATCTTCAAAGTGTAAGTTACCTTCAAATGCATTTATGAAAACACTGCTAAACATGCACAGCATTTGTGCTGGTGCTCGCACTTTGCCCCCTTTACTGGCATACAAATGTCAAGTACTCCTCACGCTTGCCCATGGAACTCACATTAGTGTCTGGATTGATGATGTGATGACCTGGCTTAACTCTTGTGAAAAGGCACCCAAACAGCTGCCCTATCATCTAATAGTCAAACCAGAGATGAAATGAGCACCAGTATTTATGAACCAGCTGAGTCAACCATGCACTGTGTCTGCGATGATCCAATATCTTCAAAAAGCCCCAGTGCTCCTGGATTGGATAGGTGCATACTCAGTCGTTGTCCATTGCCATCTGCTTATCATCAGCATATAGGCTTCATGTCTCACTCCTATCGACGAAAGTTTGCAACAATCATGTCCTCTAAGCTACCAAATGTGCATCAAACTCATTACTCACCATATCCTCACTCACAACGTCCCTCAGCATGTACTCAAATATGTGATGGGTTACTCGGTCAGCTCTGACCTCACATTCAGCACCTACCAGTTATCTGATTGTCAGATAAATGTTAATGCACTACATCACGGTGTCACTAAAGATCCTCAAATTCATGCCACAGTAATGTCATTGGCCTCTCACAAGTCTCAGGTCATCAATGATCAGTTGATGGCCATCGTTCAAAAGGATGTATATCTTTCAAAATGGATTGATGAGTTTGTATACAAGAATGATGCTTCAGGCAAAAACACAATGTTTCTGCAATCAACAGCAAGATTTCAGATCAGGTACGTGCAGGGCCACTCTAATGTCAGTTACTCTCATCTGACACAACTGTCAGCTTGCCCAATCTAAAGAGGCACAAGATGTGCAAGATGTGTGGACTGAAGTTCTCATGCGCTATCATTAGATCATATCTAAAGTGAGTAATGACCAGTATATTACAGTGTTGCCAGTTCTAACATCACATTAGGTCACATACCAGCTGATTGTTACCTCTGAAAAACAACCCATCCCTCTCCCTCAATCCTCTGATGTGGCCTTCATCTATGAATATGAACATAAGAATGCCTGCCTGACACCATACAATGAGAGCAAAGATGATGCTTCTCAAGATGTGAGGACTGCAAAGCTGCTGGAGGATCTTCTCAACACTCACCCTCTCATGCCGCTCATCTCCTCAGATCCTGTCAATGTCCATATTAACATTTTCAACTATTGGCTGGCCAACTTGTAGGTGCTCTCTCTCAGCGAACGTGGCATATGCCCTTACTGTCATGCCAGCCCTGGACTGCCGATTGAGGAACATACCAAGACCACAAGGGAAACCTTGCAAAGCACAGGATCAGCTGCGAGAAGAACTTTTATAAGGATTCTCATGTTCAGTGTCTGATTTATCAAGCTTTCATAACCAAGGACATCGAGCCACCCATTCAGCCTAGCAAGAAAAGTTTCAAGAAAAAAATCAAGCTTGCCTTTTGTAAAGCTGACGAAGAACATGACAATGTTCCTGACTTTTTGATAGAGTCTACACTGCTGGATGAACATCTGTGTCTTTGCTTCAGCCACATTCTTGCCAAGTGGGACATGCTGAACTTGTTGATGATGAGGAAGGATATTTGAGACAAGCATTGCATGTTTGTGAATTTAAAATGCCTGTTTGCTATTGAAGCACATTACAAGCATTCATAACTGACAAATTACAGTGATCCAAAGGACTTCGTTTACAACCTACCACATGCAGCAAATGCAACTATGTGTGCACAGAAGAAAAAGTCAACACAGGGCCAAGGAAATGAGTCAGAGAGACACATTCTCTGCCCGCACTGCTTGTTCAACACATACCTCACTTGGACCCAACATTTGCTGTGAGTGTAATCTTTGTGTTTTGCACGTACCCTGCTAAGTCATACTTTAGAACATTTAACTTGCCTAGTGAACTGTATCATCATATCTTTGGTCATGGACATTCCACCAATTAACAATTTATTGTGACGCGTAGCTTCAAGTGTTGCATACCACGATGTGCTCGTCATGGTGACCAGTAAGTATTGTACTACTTTAATTCACTGTTTAACACATTAAAGTGAGCATGACAGGCTTCCTTTAGCAGAGTACTTTTCTCATTTACACAACGACCACAGTTTTGATCTGCTTGTGGTCCATGACAACAATCCTGACAACATTCCTCTTCAACTCTCCTCACCCATCATGTGGCATGATGTTGCAGCACTCCAGCATGCTAAGAGTATGAAGAATATATCCAATGTGTGCTTGAACAGCATGCAGCACAGATCTCGTGAGCTCAAGGGCCTTGTCAAGAAGTATGGTGAAGTGCTAACATGATATGCGACCACCAAAATGCAATTAAAGGCATCTTCATCTTCAAAGCTACCATCCAGCTTCAAGGAAGAAAGATATCTGCATTCTCCTATTTCTATTTCTTCTGACTCTGAAGGTCATTTAGACAAACACAAGGGTAAAGCTGTGAAAAAGAATTTCTTGGACGAGGATAAGGTTGGATGTACACTGGAGTCACCCACCTCTATGTCTCTAAAGCACTCTGATGACTCTGAACAGTACTGGACCCAGGTGAGAGAATGGCAGTAGCTTGTACTATATTGTAATGTTCACAATAAATGTTGTCTCAATGTCGCTGCAACACATTGTCGACTGACCTCATTTGACAAGTGCCCTGTTCTGAGCTGTCAGCAAGTGTCGTTGTCACTTGCACCACAACACAATCCACAGCCACTCTCTTGGTTGTCTTCAACCATTATGGTCATTGCCTAACGAGACATCTTATCCAGTGACTTTTTTTTTTGATTCTGCCCACAATATCAGCTTTTACTCTTCTGATCTCCATGGTCTGCAGGCTACTATATCCTCTAACTCTGAAGATGTGCTCTGGACCTATGACAACATCCAAATTGCACACACCAATCACTTTCACCGACCCATGCCTATGATCACCCGCATCCTTAGTGAGCTGCATGGAGAATACATACAAACTCTCTCTCTCTGCCACATCAGTGTCTCACTTGAGAACGTTGACCCAAACTTGCTTGTTGAAATGCAAAAGCACTGGGTACATATATACATTTTGATTCTGGTTGCCACGATGGATACAGAATATTGGCTGGAGCTATTAGAAGATGGCTTCTTTCCTAATTTACGTCACCTCACCCTGGCTTATATGGACATGACCTTGAATGACATGGTCAATGCACTCATTGTCCATGGAGATCATGGCTTCACCCCCCTTTCAACTCTCTCTCATTCACACTGGTGACAGCCTCAATCAGGAACATGTCAACTGACACTGGATGGACCGTGCACGAGTCAATATACCTTCCTCTTTCTGAGCTTGGCACAGCCTTCATGACTATACTGCATCGATCCATTGACTTACTTGCTACTGCCGTGAGGGACCTGAAGAATGCTGGAAGACTCATGCCTGTCTGGATGAATGTGTCACCACAGAGAAAGATAATGTACAAGATGAAAGTGAAGTTTAGAATTTTTCAAATGACACACGTTGAGGTGGGATATATTTTATTCAGTTATGATGCTGCTAAGACCACCACAGCAGAAAATTCAAGGACAATAGCTGGGATAGTAGAGAATGTTGTGGACAATTGTGTACAGCATAAGGAACAGCTTGAAATGTCACAAGAATATGATAATATAATTTATAGATGATCATATTACATTTTTGCAAGCAGTTGTTTTACAAGGCAGATTGGTGTAGTGGTAACATGTTAGTCTCTGAGTTAAAGATTTAGGGTTTGAGTCCCTGGCCTGTCATTCTTTTTCGCTTTTCACAACTCACTTTATTTGTTTTGAGCTATGGTATTTGAGATTTAACGATAATTCTTGTATTTTCAAATTACCATTATGGGCCAGTAATAATCCCAACATCACATTTTTGTTTTAGTATTGTCATGTCAAGCATTATCACTTGTCCTTGTCGCCATCCTCCTCGTCGCCGTCATTGCCTCACCATCGTTGCTCTCCTTGCCATTGTCGCCTTTGTGTCACCTCAACATGGTCTTGTCTCTGCTCCTCTGGGTCACTCTTATCTGTTTCCATGACTCTTCTATGTGCTAGGGAAGGGGGGGTCAAGCAAGGCACCACCGGGGATAATGTCAGAGTATGCCTCAGACCCTCAGTGTGGCTTCTCTTTGAGAGAAACTGCATGGATAAGTCATTGTATACCTTTGACCTGTGTGGGCCAGCCAAAAGTGATCCCCTCAAGCCTGGTGCAGGCGACCAGCCATCTCTTCGTTTTCTGCCCATAAACTTGCCACTCATCTGTGTACTTGGCCCTGCTGTCATGGGCTATCCACCTGTCAGCCTACACTTTGGATCCATCTCCCCACCCTCACTCAGGAGATTGCCAGAGGGGGGAGGTGCGCATGGTGGACAAAGGTCACATAACCTGCACCTCTGACGGTGCTCATCCACCTTGCCCTCATCCTCACCCTCCTCCACCTTGCCCTCATCCTTTCTCTACCCACCCCATCCAGCACTCCCACTAATCATCTTTTGCGTCACTCCGCAACATGTTCAAAAAAGTGAGTGAGTGTCACCAGTACAACGCAGACAATTGTGATAACAATGTCTTGGAGACAATACCCCTTCTGCTTGCATCTCTGTGCAGCCCAGCACAGCTATCATCAGGTGCCATTACACATGCACCATCATTTGCACAAATAGTCTTATTGGCGTTCAACCCAGAGTGCAACTGCGATGTTGATCCAGAGTGCGAGGAGCATGTAAACGACAGAAGCAACATTGAGGAACCATATTGGGATGCACATGAGTGGGCCTTTCCTGTCATTACGGAGGCTGAGACAGAGATGGAGACAGAGTCACATTTGCATCAATATGTTTCACCGATGTGGTGGCAGCAGATCACATGCATTCTCGGGCATGCATTCCATATCGTGTTCCCTACATTGCATGGGATCGGAAGCAAGCCATTTCTGGGCAAGGTCACAGCGGTGCTTGCAGCACCCACAGTGATGGCACTGACACTGATGCTGCCCATGGTGGTGACAGCATATGAGGATGTTGGGCATGAGTGTGAGAAGCTGCAGGGGGCCGCAGCGCTATCCCAGGTCTGAAGGTTATCAGTCCTTGGAGTTTGGAGGATTGCAAAGGCCTGTTGAAGGTGTGTGATGTGTTTATCCATAATGACAGCTGTTTTTGTAGCAAGCTAGTACTACAGGCTGCCATTCATGATTCCAGTCCAACCATTTTTCTCGAGAACGAGATGATATATGGCCACAGCTTCCCGATGTCTGCGGAAGCAATGTTTGACAACTTCATCCTTCCGATCGACAAAGCCATGGTCGAGCATGAGGGTTCTGACATGACTATTGTCACCCATAGTTTAATGGTCTTGCACAGTCTCAATGCAGCAGAAGAGCTCGTGAAAGAGGGTATCACAGTGGAGATCATCAACTTGCTGTCACAGCGCATTGTGACTCCTGCCTAGAGAGGCAAGGAGCTGGCTGCAAGGTGCTGCCTGCATCCTGTGACTCATCGCCAGTGGTGGATGATGACATGAGGTAAAAGGTGGCTCAAAGGGCCTCTAGCCTTATCACACAAAAGAGAGGGTAATGGCCGTTGTAGGCCTCATGAAATAGTTGAATGAAACTGGGGATACCCAGTTCCTTACTGGTGCTTATACATATACATGTATGGCAGAGCCCCTGGCACTTGTGCTACTGTGAAATCTCTGGTACCTACATGTGAACATAATGCCAGAACCAGTAATGGTTCTGGTCTCACCATGACAACTACCTACTATTGGTCATGAGGTTACCCAATGAGATAATTGTATAACATGGTGCCACCTTTGTTGCTGACTGAAGTGGTGCCACTTATTGAGGGGCCAATGGTGTTGGTCCTATTGGATATAGCTAATAGGGTAGTGTCACGGCACATCATAGATCCTGCTAAAAGGCAAGGAAATGGCTGCAAGGTGCTAGCCACGCTCAGTGACCTGCACAAAAACCAAAATAAGGACCTGCCACAAGGGGGCTAGGTCAAAAAGGCATGCAGTGACATGCAGCCTACAAAAAGGGGCTCAAAGGGCCCATAGCCTTATGTCACACAAAGAGGGGGTGAAGGCTTCTTAGGCTGCATGAAATAGATGAATGAATGTAAGGTCTTCCCTTAGATCCTCATGTGCTTATATACATGTAGTGGTGGACCCTGGGTACCCTAACCATGGTGTACTTACTGGGGTCCTGTCCTGTCTACATGTGAACATATTGCCAAAACCAGTAATGATTCTGGACTTTGCTATAGCAACTATCTATGAAGGCCGTGGATACGCCAAGGTAATACTACTTTACCCAATAAGATAATTGCCTGAACGTGGTGTCACTATTTGAGTAGCTGAAGTGGTGCCACTTATTGAGTGGTCAATGGGGGTTTTGCCATAGCGCATATTCTAATGCTGGTGCTACTATTTGGCAGCCATGTAGTTGGTGCTGCTATTGAGCAGCGAATTGGATGCTTGCTAGCTTGATGGTCCAATGAGCATGGGTAAGCCTATTGTGGGCCAAAGAGTTCCATTCTGAGCAAGTGGCCTGGTGTCACGTGACCAACGCCTGATAACTTCTGAATAGGGCAAGTGGCCAGTGTCATGTGACTGAGTGGCTGAATCATGGGCGCTTGGTGGTCATGTGGTAGACACAGTCATATTCACGATGTATGTGGTGATATTGTGCTGTTTGTCTAAGTATCTATGTTGTGAGACCAATATGAAGGTTGGCATCCGAATAACCACTTGTGGTTGCTGAATGATGACTTTATTGGTGCAAAAAGAAAGTTGCCACTTAATAATGTGACAGGTAGGTGCTGCTATCATGCCTAAAGGTATAAGCCCCTTATCTGATCATGTGACTGAGTGATCAGATCGGGTGCTTCATTGGTCACGTGGTAGACACAGTCAAGTCTGCTGTGTAGCTGGTGTTAACTTGTGACAGGTCCAAGTATCCACTTTGATAGACCAGTATAAAGGTGGGCACTTCTGTATCCAGTCATAGGTTGACTTATGCAGGACTTTGTAGCAAAAGTAAATATGTCAGGGTAAAACTGTGACACTTGCACATCGTCCGCCCACTCGATATTGAGACCATCAAGGTGTCAATCAAAAAGACTAACTGGTGCGCTCGTAGTGTTTTCCTATGAAAGCTTTGCTCATATGATTCCAGCTTGGTCATGGTCAAGGGCAGCTGGCCTGGGTTCAGTGTCAGCAGCGAGATCTGCACGCAGGTCATCGAGAGTGAAGCATTTCACTGTCTTGATGCTCCAGTGAAATGTGTCACTGGTTTGTATGATGGCATATCATTGATGTGTCAGGAACCTCCGCTGACTTTTCTCTCAGTATGCGCTTAACCTCATAACACTATATGGATGGTTATAACTGTGCATGCCTCCAGGCATGGTTCATCGAGATCACCAGGAGCAAACCTAATCAAAATGTTCGAAGTTCTCATCCTATCATTGCTCCACCTGTATGCTGATGTCGTGTATAACTCAGTGCTCATATTATGCCGCTGTTGTACAGATGTACATATATCATATACTTGAGATAGATGTGGCTCATCAGACCATACTCTTGCCAGCATTTGATGTCTGAGGTGAGAAGATCAATGGTCACTCACTGCGCATTTGCCTCATCAGTCGCTGCTCACAGTTTCGCGCTGGAACGCGGTACTTTCATTGAGAGATTGACAGGGACGGGCATGCTGTGAACTTCAATGAGACGAAACAGATCCTTTTGGTCAGACCGGATGATACCAGTGTCCAGTTGAGCTTTGTTCAGACCTGTGGTAGCATGCCGGTGTCTTGGGCTGAAGTGAACACATTGCAGTATACATCGGACCTTCAGATTATGGACCTGCAGAAGATGGTCTGTGGTCCTCACGATATTCCTATGCTCATGAACTGATGATGAGGAATTAGGTCGATGCTATGCAGAAGCACTTGCTGATGAACATATCAGTCTATGACGAGCAGACCCTGGTGAACCTCATGGATCATAAAGGGCTGAAAGGCACGAAGGGCTGGTCAAGAAGGCGTATGAGCATTCTATCTCTGAGGTTCAGGTATGTTGTACAAAGACATGATAGATGTGAACCAAATTGCAGGATATTCAGAGTGCAGAAAGTGGAAGTACTTTCGACATATGTGGCACCAATTAGTGGTCGCAGTGGAGTATCGCAGAGTCTATCCCTTTGACACTGTGGCTGAGCCAAATTTGTTCAGAAGCCGTCTGTTATATGACCAAGTCTCACCACCTCTTTGCCTCACCATCCTTTCCTAGAGCCTCACAATGAGCAGCAAGGGCATCAAATATGCATCCCCTGAAGACTCGATGGAGAAAAATCCCCTCAGCAATGTTGAGCTGACCGACGAGTATGTGGCAAAGCTGCAGGGGATTCAAAGGGAACTTGGGCATTGTGAGCTTATTCTAGGTGTGCTTCCATCCTCCTCCATCCTTGATAGAGTGAGCTAACAGGGCATGCTATCCAGCATGTAAAGTGTCATGCACATGAGTTTCTCTTATCCATATATGAAGACCGGTGGAGCATCCTAAAGGGGATCCTGAAGTTCTGGGCTGTCATGCTCATGAACCACAACATGTTCATGATGCAAGCGCAGCACAACTCAGACCAGGTCACACTCAGCTTTCTGGAGGATGTCTGGGTCGCATGGAATTCGAGGAAGTCTCAGTGTTTCATGCTAGAATTTGTGAGTGGGCACTTCACACGTTATGCAGACACGTCGTCGTTGCCCAACAACACATGCAGCACTTCAAGGAAAATCTGTATTTCTCGAACAGAGTGCTGAAGAAGGAGTACTGCTACATGCTGCATCCCTCAGTGGAGGACATTCAGCCTGACACAGATGGCATTACATAATCCATGCTTGAGTTCTTGTGAAAATGTGATGTGAAGCCTCAGGTAAGAGTAATAGATCGCAACTCCAATGCCACCAGGCTAATTGTATATCTTATAACAAACAGGCCCAGAAGATGGACTGGAAGGATGATTCGAAGAACCTCACCAAGCTGCACTCACAGGTGGTGCATGTCGATGGTGATGACATGCTGTCGCATGGTGGCAGCTTCTTCAACTTCTTTGAGCATGAAGGTGATCCGTTCAGAATAAGTGCATCCTACGGTGGAGAGTCAATGACATCAGTGACATGGTACTTGATTTCTACATTGGCGTACTCATTGTGAATGACATCTTTTTGGAGGCAATCAACTACTTCCTGGACCAGGTTGGAAGCCACAACATGGTGGAGGATGACAATCATGAAGACAAGATTCACCTAGAAGAGCAATGCATGAAGAAGGTGAAGAAGTCTCTGTTGGACCAGGACATGAGCAATGACATGAACTGGGAGAGAGAATCCGGCAACAAGGACAGCAACAATGACCAAGAGGATATTGAGATGGTGCAACTGCCTGATCAAGGTGAGGATATGGTGAGTATTTGTTCACTATGCAAGCATCATGGTTCTAACCTCATTATTTAGGAGGTGACACAATTGTTGTGGAATCATGTCATAGAAGACATAAAAGCGTAAGTCTTAACTTTGTTCAACAATGCTTGAAGGCTCACCTCAACAGTTCATTGTCCACAGAAAGGCTTGAAGAGCTCCGAAAAGAGGTATTCGAAGATGAAGAGTTGTTGGATATGTCTGACGACGAAGACGTTGAGCATGCTCCCTCTAAGTTCGACAATCAAAATGTTGAAGATGCTCCCTCTAAGTCTGACAACCAAGATGTTGAAGATGCTGCTGCTAAGTTCAATAACTAAGACATTGAAGATGCTACAACCAAGTTCCATAATGAAGGTGCTAGCGCTAAGCCCCATGATAAGCGTGACAAAAAGAGGCAAAGATGCCCGAAAGTGTAAGTGTTTAGAGCTTATGTATAATTGATGTTGACAACATTGCATCTTATCCAGGAACAAGGAGAAGGCAGAGCAGCGCATGAAGGTCAACTTGCAAAATGAAGCGAGAAAGATGACTGAAAGAGTGGAAGCAAATAAAAGTAGGTATTTTTTTATAACAATATACAATATAGCTAACCCAAATTCAGAGATCTTCGACTTCAATTTTGCAGATGCTGTGAAGGGCTCTAAGCATAAGTGAAAACCTAAACCTGCCTTACTGGGAGACCTGAGATGACAACAATCCCAGGTCTGCCTATTCATCTGATGGACAAAAGCTGGTATATCATTTACCTAGATTTATCAAGGCCCGTGGGCAGGTGAGTTTTGTAATATATTGTTTTTTTAAATGTTACTGATATTGATTGCAAAAAATGTTAATCAATGACCTTCATATGTTCTTCAATCACGTACCTCTGATGCTCAAATGAAAAAAGACCCATCAGTATACCAAAAATGAAGGCATGTGAGGGGAGATCAACTTGGTTAGATGCTGACATGGAATCGGACAATCAGTGAGTTAAAAATCATTAACTGGAGCATAAATTAAATTTGTGATATAGCCATCCAGCGAGGTTGTACCAAGTAGAGACTTTGTCAGGACTGCAACTGCCTTGAGATATGTGACATCGATTGTCAAGTCTATGGAAGTTCTTTCATTGTGCATTAACTCAGTTATCGAAGCAGCCGATCCACAGTTTTACGAAAGTGCATTGTTGATAAGAAAGAGTATGGAAAAAGATAACCCATTTGCTGATCTCCTAGGCAAGATTGATCTGTTGGTGATGGAAGGAAGGGAGATTCTAGTCAACGGTCAATCCCCCAAGCACACCGACAAATATGATCCTTCCAAGGGATGCATAATAATTGTCGCTCCTGGAGGTTTCACTGGAGGGAGCATTCGCTTCACGTCTTTAGGACTGATGGTCAGAATGTTACCCGGTGATTATTTGCTTAAGATATGTGCTTAGACTTGTTGACTTAGTCAGGTTGACATTAGATGATGCTGTCATGATGCGAGGTAGAGTTTTGCCCCATGAGGTGGAGAACTGGGATGGCATCCAGAGAATCTCCATTCCTCACTTCACTCATTCATCCATCTGAAAAAGATATGGGATGTATGACAAAGTCGATGCTTGAAATATTGTGATTTTTCATGAATTTTGTCCTATTTTGTTACTTTCTACATGCAGGCAGTCAGAGCTTCTGAGTCACGCAAGCGAGGAGCGAGATAGAAATGACACACCAAGTAATCCTCTTCCACCATGCAGTCATGTGAGAGTGGCCAGATGAAAAAGAAGGATGAAAGTGCATTACTACTTGTGCTTGGGTGCTGACGCATGCAGATGCATTATGAAAGTGATGCCCGTGCCTTGTCCCTCCTTGCTGTTGTGCAACAGACAACACTGCATACAATATTTCTATCAAGCACAAAGCTGTGGAGTCTGGCTGGCCTAATGGTACCCCCAGTGTGGCTTCTCTTAAAGAGAAACCACATGGATAAGTCATTGTATGCCTTTGACCTGTGTGGGCCAGCCAAAAGTGATTCCCTCGAGCCTGGTGCAGGTGACCAGCCATCTCTTCGTTTTCTGCCCATGAACTTGCCACTCATCTGTGTACTTGGCCCTGCTGTCATGGGCTATCCACCTGTTAGCCTACACTTCAGATCCATCTCCCCACCCTCACTCAGGAGATTGCCAGAGGGGGGAGGTGCGCACGGTGGACAAAGGTCACATGACCTGCACCTCTGATGGCGCTCATTCACCTCGCCCTCATCCTCACCCTCCTCCTTCCTCTACCCACCCCATCCAGCACTCCCACTAATCATCTTTTGCGTCACTCCACAATGCGTTCAAGAAAGTGAGCAAGCATCATCAGTAAGACGCAGACAATCACGATAATGATATCTTGAAAATGATACCCCTTCTGCTTGCATCCTCATGCAGCCCAGCATGGCTACCACCAGGCAGCATTACATGTGCACCATCATTCACATAGACAGTCTTATCAGCATTTAATCCAGAGCATGAAGCGTGACTGCGATGTCGATCCAGAGTGCGAGGAGCATGTGGGTGGCAGAAGCGACGACAAGGAACTATATCAGGATGCATGTGAGTGAGCCTTCCCTGTCATTTTGAATGGTAGCCCTTAAGCTTAGGCTCCTATAGCACTACCTACACCAGAAGCCTCATCAACGCTGCAGATACTGAACTACAACTTTCTGAGGTCGCGTGCCCACTCAAATCCCGTGCTTCCTCAGCTCGGGTTGCAAACTGACTTCCCTCCCCATCCTCAAACACGTTCTCCATCCTCACATTCCTCACATGTCAGTGCTCTGCCATCATTCTCCCTCGTAGATGCCCTTGAGTTCAGGCAGATCATCACATTGCTACAGCAGGAGGTGTCTGGGTCCTCGCTCAGCATGTTCGAAAGTCCACTGTCGCCATACCCTGAAGGCCATTATCACCAACATCATCATACATGCTCGCACTGGCACACACCACTGTCAGGCATTGAACAGAATCCATGAGATGCTGCACTGGGCATCCCACTGAGCGACCGATCACCGCAATCATTTCCTCATCAGCTTGAGCGTTCGTGCTCACATTCACCTCAGCCAGTGGTGCTCCCGATAATATTGCACATGCCAGCATCTTCCATAGTATCAGAGGCTGAGATGGAGATGGAGACAGACTCACAGTCACATCAGTATGTTTCACCAACACAGTGGCAGCGGATAGCACGTGTCCTTGGGCACGTGTTTCATATCGTGTTCTCTACGCTGCATGAGATCGAGAGCAAACCACTCCTGGGCAAGGTCGCAGTGATGCTTGCAGCGCCCACAGTGATGGCACTGACACTGACGCTGCCCGTGGTGGTGACGGCATATGAGGATGTTAGGCACGAGCGCAAGAAGCTGCGCGGCATCGCAGGTGGGGGTGAGAGCCGGTTGGTCGACTTCGAGGAGGAAGACATAGAACGCACGCTGATCGCGGAGGACGAGGTAGCAGAGGAGATGCATGAGCTGAAATATAACAAGTGGCTAATGGCAGTGCAGTGCACCCTTGGGCTGCTCTTTTGTGTTGCTATTTTGTTCGGTGAGTGCTGCCTACCTGGAGAACGGCGTGAGATAATTCACTGACCTTGATGGACGATTAGACAGGACGAAGCATGAACTGTGGCTGCTGCTGGTGACGGGCGTGGCGGGCTTCACTGTGGGGATCATCGTTGCAGTTTTCTCGGATCGAGGTACGCACGCCGGTGCGCAGCTGATGCGCTGTACCATGGGCTTCATGGTTGCTGTTGTTTGGATTATGGCGATTGCAGATGAGGTTGTAGAGGTTCTACAGGTTGAGTGGTCTTCGTTAATTGCATAGTCTCATTACTGATCTGACAATTCTCAGATGTTCAGTTTCATATTTGGCTTGTCTGACACTATCATTGGGCTTACAATATTCGCTGTTGGGAATTCTCTGACTGATTTAGTTGCAAACATGAGTGTAGCAGTACATACGATGCCAGCACGTCACTCTCGTTTGCTTATGCTGTCTTCCAGGTATTCGCCCTGATCATGGGCTTCTCAGCATGTTACGGTGGGCCGATGCTGAACATCCTCCTCAGTGTTGGCATCTCGGGCTCCTACATCATCTGGCAGACCACTGAGCCATACCCTCTGCACTTCTCCACGATGCTCATCATCACGGGCAGTGGGCTGCTCATGCTTCTCCTTGCCACGCTGATTTTCGTGCCGTGGAATGGCTACTTCCTTCTGTGGAGCTGGGGCATCATCCTCATCATGGCATATACTGGCTTGATGATCACCAACATCATTGTCAAGATCATAAGCTGAGGTGACTTGCAATTAGGCAAGGCATGTGAATGACTGAGCTTATGAGCATTGATGATCTGACACTGCATAATCTACTTATTGTATTCGATGGGATAGAGATTCATTGATATTTACGTCTCACCAGCATATTGTACAATTGTAAGCAAAACATGAATCAAATTGCGAGATAATTAGAGTGCGGAAAGTGGAAGTACTTTCGACATATATGGTGCCAATTAATGGCTGCAGCGGAGTATCGTGGAGTCTGAAATATTCCTTTAATGCTGTGGCTGAGCCAAATTCTGTATGACCAAGTCTCACCACCTCTTTGCCTCACCATCCTTTCCTAGAGCCTCACAATGAGCAGCAAGGGCATCAAATGTGCATTCTCTGGGGACTCGATGGAGAAAAATCCCCTCAGCCATGTTGACCTGACCGACGAGTATGCGGCAAAGCTGCAGGGCATTCAAAGGGAACTTGCGCATCACAAGCTTATTCTAGGTGTGCTCCCACCCTCCTCCATCCTTGATAGAGTGAGCTAACAGGGCCATGCTATCCAGCATGTAGCTAAGTCTATGTTGGACCAGGACGTGAGCGACGACATGTGGAAGAGGAACATCGGCAATAAGGATGGCAACAATGACCAGAAGGATATTGAGATGGTTCAACTGCCTGATCAAGGTGAGGATATGGTGAGTATTTGTTCACTATGCAAGCATCATGGTTCTAACCTCATTATTTAGGAGGTGACACAATTGTTGTGGGATCATGTCATAGAAGACATGAAAGCGTAAGTCTTAACTTTGTTCAACAATGCTTGAAGGCTCACCTCAACAGTTCATTGTCCACAGAAAGGCTTAAAGAGCTCCGAAAAGAGGTATTCGGAGATGTAGAGTTGTCAGATATGTCTGACAATGAAGACGTTGAAGATGCTCTCTCCAAGTCTGACAACTAAGACATTGAAGATGCTTCCTCCAAGTTCAACAACCAAGACATTGAAGATGCTGCTGCTAAGTCCAACAACCAAGACGTTGAAGACAGTACGACCAAGTTCCATAATGAAGGTGCTAGCGCTAAGCCCTGTGATAAGTGTGACAAAAAGAGACAAAGATGCCCGAAAATGTAAGTGTTTAAAGCTTATGTATAATTGTCACAGCACATTAGATCCTGTGCCCTAAGGCAAGGAAATGGCAGCAAGATGCTTGCCAGCGTCCAGTGACCTGCACAAAAAAGGGGTTTGCCCAGGTAGGGCCAAACCAGGCATGCAGTGACATGCAGCCTAAAAAGGGGCTCAAAGGGCCCTTAGCCTTATGCTCACAACAAGGGGGTGAATTGGCTGTTAGGCCGCATGAAATAGGTGAATGAATGTAAGGTCTTCCCTTAGATCCTCATGTGCTTATATACATGTAGTGGTGGACCCTGGGTACCCTAACTATGGTGTACTTACTGGGGTCCTGTCCTGTCTACATGTGAACATATTGCCAAAACCAGTAATGGTTCTGGACTTTGCTATAGCAACTATCTATAAAGGCCGTGGATACGCCAAGGTAATCCTACTTTATCCAATGAGATAATTGTCTGAATTTGGTGCCACTATTTGAGTAGCTGAAGTGGTGCCACTTATTGAGTGACCAATGGGGGTTCTGCTATAGCACATATTCTAATGCTGGTGCTACTATTTGGCAGCCATGTAGTTGGTGCTGCTATTGAGCAGCGAATTGGGTGCTTGCTAGCTTGGTGGTCCAATGAGCATGGGTAAGCCTATTGTGGGCCAAAGAGTTCCATTCTGGGCAAGTGGCCTGGTGTCACGTGACCAACGCCTGATAACTTCTGAATAGGGCAAGTGGCCAGTGTCATGTGACTGGGTGGCTGAATCATGGATGCTTGATGGTTATGTGGTAGACACAGTCATATCCACGATGTATGTGGTGGTATTATGCTGTTTGTCTAAGTATCCACTTTGTGAGACCAATATGAAGGTTGGCGTCTGAATAATCACTTGTGGTTGCTGAATGATGACTTTATTACTGCAAAAAGAAAGGTGCCACTTAATACTGTGACAATAATTGATGTTGACAACATTGTGTCTTATCCAGGAACAAGGAGAAGGCAGAGCGGCACATGAAGGTCAACTTGCAAAATGAAGCGAGAAAGATGACTGAAAGAGCGAAAGCAAATAAAAGTAGGTATTTTAAATAACAATATACAATATAGCTACCCCAAATTCAGAGATCTTCGACTTCAATTTTACACATGCTGTGAAGGGCTCTAAGCGAAAACCTGCTAACTGGGAGACCTGGGATGACAATACTCCCAGGTCTGCCTATTCATCTGATGGACAAAAGCTGGTATATCATTTACCTAGGTTTATCAAGGCCCGTGGACAGGTGAGTTTTGTAATATTGTTTTTTTTGAAATGTTACTGATATCGATTACAGAAAATGTTGATCAACGACCTTCATATGTTCTTCGATCACGTACCTCCGATACTCAACAAAAAAAACATCAGTATACCAAAGGTGAAGGCGTGTGAGGGAAGATCAACTTGGTTAGAGGCTGGCATGGAATCGGACAATCGGTGAGTGGAAAATTATTTACTGGAGGATAAATTAAATTTGCAATATAGCCATCCAGTGACGTTGTACCAAGCAGAGATTTTGTCAGGTCTGCAATTGCCTTGCGATATGCGATAGCGATTGTCAAGTCTATGGAACTTCTTTCCTTGTGCATTAACTCAGTTATCAAAGCTGTGGAGTCTGGCTGGCCTAATGGTTTAGGTGTCAGTTTATGAGACTGAGAGAATTATAAATGGTGTTCTAACAATGGCCGGCTGGCCTAATGGTTAAGGCGTCAGTTTCCGGTCAACCTTTGCGCTGGAACTAGCTGAAGATTCGGGGTTCGAATCCCCGGTTGGTCGCATATTTTTGCTATTGTATTTAGTCAATTCTTTTTCGCAATAGGCATCAGCGTTCTAACCGTGCCTCTATGTAGTTGGCTCCTAAGGTGCATTGCGCCACGCATGTTCCTCGACGAGTCAGACAGAACCTGTGCTTGAACAATATTAATTGGGTACAAGTTTTCCGTCGCACTTGCAATTCCCACGCCACCAGGTGCTGACGCGTGCATATTGTGAAGACGACGCCGCATTCAGCTGTCGCTTCTCTCCTCGAGCCTCCTTGTCCTTCCTTGCCTTGTCCCTCCTTGCCAGACGCCGATTTCAGCGTCGCTTCTATCCTCGCTGCAGCCATGTCCGCAAATGCATCATCATCAAAATCCTCCGATGCATTCAAACCATCGGAATCTTTGAAAGAGGAGCAAGCTATACCTCATCTCGGGATGCTGGAGGAGGACGATGAGTTTGAAGAGTTCGCGGTAGCGGGTTCGTTCATTCGTTTCATTCTCGCACGCTCATTCACTAACAATTATATGCTATCCGAAGATTGGGATGATTCTCAGACAGACTTGGCTCATCTAGGAGGAGCAGCCCCGGGGGCGGCAAAGTCTGGGGGCGACAAGTTGTGGGAGGACAACTGGGACGATGATGATATTGAGGATGACTTCAGCGTGCAGCTTCGGTGCGTTATAGCGGCTCACATTGCTGACATCAAGGTTGAGCTTACATTTGTGACCACTCTGATAGGAACGAGCTTGCGAAGAAGAGCCAAAGTACGAGCGGAGGCCCTGAGCCAATGCAGCATTAGCGGACATACGCCAGATTCGATCTCCCATCCCGACATTTCTGTGGATGTACTTCTCTTGTAGCTGTGGAATGCACGGACGCGTCATCACGCCAGATTACCACGCAGCACGTTTCTATCTTTTACAGGACAACCAGGTATCCCAGTTATTGGCGATACCTCTGAGGCTCCGGAAGCATACTGTCGAGCGCATGATTTCGGCAACCTGTATCCACACACTTCGAGGGATGCTGTTGTAGCAGCTCAGCAACTGGATCACTCGTGGCTGGCACGCGTTCACACTGAATATACAGTGAGCATGAGTGAACTTCTCATCCGCGGCGTATGTCATATTTCTATCTATTGACTCTGCTTCCTATGAGGATCAGACACTGATTCTTCAGCTGTATGGCACACGATCGATCCATCCTACCTTTGCGGACGACTCGTTGAACGGATATCGTACTTCCTTTCCTGCGCTATCATACGTCGTCTTCCTGCTCTATCATGAGCAGTTCAACGTTCACCCCATATGCCCTGTGAAGTTCACCGCTGGCCGAAGTCGTGGCGTGTGGCCATGGTGGCGTTGAAGCTGACGTAAATGTTCGTACTCTCCCATGGAATGAACTCCAAAGGCCGAATGCTGTTGCCAAAGGTAGTTTGCGCGAATCTGCCTCACGTCTGAGCATTCTGCATAATGACAGTGAGTACATGTGTTGGCGCGTATAGACCCATTCGCCACAAGTTCCCCACTGCGCACTCGCCTGCGTCACGCGCAATGGTAGGCGGCGTCGTGACATCGGAGGCGAATTGTATGGTAGATGCACGGAAGCGTCTGAGCGTTTCTTGGCATGATTCATATGCTGAGTGCCATCCTCCATTCTACAGATGCCCAGGTCGAGGTGATAATTAGCGAAGAGGTTTCACGTATGACTCTGCGGAGTGTACGGCAGACATGTGCTTTGCTTCAGCGTTCGGCTAGAAGTCTATGTGTTTTCAGTACCCAGCATTCGTGATGCTCGGCCGAGTAGTTCGAGGTGCAACTCAATGTCGAGCCTCGCGACATTTACGTGTCGAGGCACCGTTTCTGCCCCAAAAAAATGCCAGTTTTTCTTGTCTCCCTGGGCAGATCTATGTTTTTTGAGGAAGGGGATGAGAGATATATCCGTGCACTGCGTACAACGTCACGTAACGTGGACGGACGCGACACCACCTGAGACGCCACGCGTCTGTGGCTTCAGCAACCTGCATCGTGCAACGTCAACGTTCAACCGTCTAAAAACTCCTTGATCTTTTCCTTCCCTGTTCTCCCTAGTTGTTTTTTTCGATTGAAAAGGTTGAAGGCACTTAGGACTGCATTCATCGATCCATAGACCATGCCACCGAACGCCTGCAACGCCGCTTTATCCGAAGCAACGCAGCATCGTGCACCAGAGGACATTGGCACGGAGGACTACGTTTATCAATGGCTTCAAGACATCGGCGCCCCTGTGGTCTCACAGGATGATCTTCATCGACTGTACAAAGGACCCTTTGCAGATGTGCTACTCTTTGTTGCTCGACATATCCGAGGACGGCGAGAAACAGCGGTATGCAGACATCAATTTCAGTGGTATGTGGTATACTCCGCACGTATGCTCTCGCCTGATGGGAAAACATGCACTGCACGCGAAGCGCGTCAACATCTGAGAGGAAGAGCGCAGCCCCACAGGCATGTTCTTCGTTTTCTGTCACCAAACGTACAAAGACCCGACTGGATGGTGCAAAGTTAGAACGGCGCGCCGCAGAGGACAGCCTTCGCAATTTACTGAACGACACGTACCTAAGTCGTACGTATCGACGGCTGGCTGATCTGATATCTAGACATCGCACTCAGTATGCTGTAGAACGCGAAGCTGATCGTTTGCAAGACGATCTTCAGCTGACACGAGGGACAAATCTTCTTCTACGCGTTCTCGCTCAAAAGGAGTCCAATCGCATTGCACGGCTTGTATGCATCAGTGACATGATGATGCAGCTTCGGTACGCTGAAGCATGACGTTTCTCATATATAATGTGGCTGAGGGCGCGTGCAGGAAAGATATCTCGTCCCGGAAGTCCGTGAGTTGTCTGACACCGCTGATCCAATTTCGGGATTTGAACATAATCCAAACAAATACCTAGGAGAAGGGCCGCCTTCACGAGACGGGAATGCGTAATACAAATCGCTATTTTGCACCTCACATCCGTGCAGATCACACGCAGGACGTGCTCGCGGTAAGAGCTTTATGTCTACGGTGAATGATCACTTGTCATAACGCGTCCCATCAGAGCTTTCACTCGTTTCACGTCCGGCTATCCCACCTCTGGATCTCCTTGCAATCGTCAAAGCAGGAAGGCGAACGAAGTGGCGAAGCGCGATTAATGAAAGCAATTTCCGATGCAATGAATCTACACATGTCCGACGAGCGAGTGATCCTCGCACAGTACATATTCTACTGCTGATGTGATGTCGTTGGAGACTGACCTCAAAGTTGCAGCGACCGTCTTAAGAAGCAGACACGCCTTCGATGCTCACAGAATCTGAGATATCACTCGCTGCTGCCCGCTTTCTCAGAAGCTCCAGATGACGCCGAACTTGACAAGATACAGAAGCGGATTGTAGGCGCATACAGCAATACTAACTGATGGTTCGGTGCGTTATCTAACGTGTAGCGATTTAGATGGAGAAGGAGCGAAAGCTGCAATCACTATCGGATCTCTCGATAGCGCTCATACATGCAAGTTCACAATCGCTTCAAAGTGTGCGTTCTCTGTCATGCGTCCTCGCTGTGCTCAGTAACTCACAATTTCAACTGACGCAGCTATCAACCTTCAGTGCTGGGGCTGCCCCCATCCTTCAGCAGGAGTTGCAGGATAAGGCCAGTGCAGTACAGGGCTACGTAGACCTTCTCCGTCATTCCGTTTCGAAACGCACGAAAGTTGTGGCGGAACACTGTGCACGCGATCCCATAAAGCTAGGAAGGGGAAAGGTCTGTGACCTCGCGAAAGCCCGTATTTGGATGAATTCCGGCTGATTGGCGTCGCAGAGCGTTAATCGCATACTGAGCGAAGTCCAGCGGTCTATCGAGCTAGGTCAGTCCTGATACTGCTTTATGGCCGATCGCCTTTGAAGGCACTGCATTGATCTTTATCCTCCAGTGCACGAGAAAGAGTGCTTCCTACGGAATGCAACGTCCATTGACCCTGCAGTCATTCTGCCCAACAACAAAGACGAGCTTGCAAAAAGACTTGGTCTGCAAATGCGTCTCATGGCTATCGCAGTTCGTCGTTAGTTGACAGCATAGTTTCAGAAACGCATAAGAAACGTCAAGCCGAGCTGAACGAGCAGATCACTCTCCTCCTTCGACATAAACTCGACAAAGCCCACGCAGGCAGGCCGTTGGAACATGATACCGAGCGTATTGCGCAGGAAATCTGTCTTGTGGGATCCATGAGCGGTCTGCGATAATCAATGGCGTTGAACAGATTATTGCATATATATTGCAAACCCATGTGCCCTGAAGTGAGGATGTTCGCTATTCATTCCAACTAAAGGTATTGTTGAACGTATTGCAAGGAACAAGACCAAGAATATCCAGCAGATCCAAGCTACATGAGATGCCGTGGCTATATGCAATTACATGAGCAAGAGTCTCGAGGTCATGAGGAGATCGTTAGAGAAGCAGGGACATATCCAGACAGCACAATACATTATGTTAAACAGCACATCACACAGCATGGTCGACGCCGACAGCTCCCCAGAAGTAGGTGGAACGTGGCGATGACAGGGAAGGAATATCCTAGCGCTGCGAGACAAGGCAAGAACGTCCAAATGTAGAGCGGAGGGAGAGCGCAGCCGCTCACACCGGCGTTGGCGATACTTTTTCACTAACGGCATTGACATCCTTCTCGGATGGCGTATCCTCGGACCAGGTCTCTGTTGTCTCGATGAGGCCCATCTTGGACGTATCAAAGCCATGCGCCTCTAGATATTCGCGGAACTGCACAACAGCAGGCAGTCAGAGGTTCTCAGTCATGCAAGCGAGGAACGAGATAAAAACGACACACCAAGCGATCCTCTTCCACCATGCAGTCATGTGAGAGCGGCCGGATGAAAAAGAAGGTGATAATGGCACTTAAAACGGCCAAGGCTGGCGTTTCAGCCACATATCGTTAGCAAGTGCAGTTACGTGTCAAGCGATTAGCAGACACGCACCACTGGCGATCCAAAATGGCCCAGTATTGCCCTTATCACTGCTTGAGCCGCCGAAATCTGCCAGGAATTCGTCATACACATCGCTGAAGAGGCCACGGATGAGCTCGCATACCATCGATGATCACGGGAAAGACTATATATGCACACTGTCAATTAACAGCATGTTCGAAGAACCGGAAAGAACGTACCCCAAGTACCCACAAATGCGCCAACCTTGCCTACTGCGGCCGCGATACCGTAGAATTGACCACGGACAGCGGTCGGGCCGCTCTTCGCTGCGAGCATTCCGAGACAGTTGCCGGGGCCTATCCCGATTGTTAGCGCACAGAATAATCGGATATAGAGTGAGACCCACCGACTTCGCCAAAGCTGAGGAAAATCCCGTAGACGACCTTTATTACGACCATCAACCAGCTGATTAGTACTTCGCATGGACCACAAGCTTACAGCAAATGCGGCGATGTGGTGCGTCAGCCTGTAGACCTGTACATCAGATCTCAAAACTCCATCAAAAGCAATCTGACATACTGCTTGTATAGACCACTCATGATGAATCCAATAATAGCCTGCGCGAGCAGACCACTGATCTGACCACATATGTATAGTCAGCATTTTTCTCGCCCGTCCCGCACTGTCAGAGCTGAACGCACCATCGTGTACTTGGGGCCGAGATAGTCGACGAGAAACGCGCCACCAACCGTGCCTTTGCATAACAAATCTCATCAGTTTGTGTACATCATATTTAAATACAATCCCGTGCGCACCTGGTATGTAGAACAAGCTGCGACGTGGAGCGGTCGAGTGAGAGCGCGATGCGAAAATAGACAAGAAAACGTACTTGATCACGACATTCCAGCCGAAGACGACGCTGAGGGCGGTCGAGTTACCCGTGATGCTGGAGGAGACATATGTCATGAGAGACAGATCTGACGCACACATGCGTCACTTACTCATCTACGACGACAGAGGAGTAGATGCCGAACTAAATGCGAGTCAATGACGTGCTATAAGCAGAAAATGTTCACAAGAAGCACTCACAGGGTACCTATCATCACGGGCTTACCATCAGTACATCAATACCATTGAGAAGGCGAATGAAACGCACGTAATAAAATCATAAATGAACCACGTGAAGCAGATCGCACACAGCTGAACCCAATAGCGTTTTATGATGAGCCAATACGGTGTCCTCGTGCGCGCCATCGAGTCCTTCTTGAAGCGCGCCGGCTCGTCCATGCGGAGACGCCAGACGAGCACTGCGAGCGCAGGTATGACGCCCAGCCCAAGGGACAGCCGCCATACAGCGCGAAGATGGTGTTCGCCGAAGCTGATGGGCGAACGGGTTAGGTGGCAACTGAAGGGGAAGAAAAGATACATACATCCAGTAGAGCACGAGCGGGACGAACGCCCCGACCACGAACCCGACGTCAATCATCGTGTCTTCGCGCATAGTCACAATTAGCAATTATAGCTTGTCCACAACGGTATGAAATGCAGCCACTGCTCACTTGTTGCAAGTGCAAACCACCTATGCTGTGCATTCTTGCTGATACCAGGCTCTTCGGACTGCTCCGAGGCTGCGACAGATCCGCAGGGGTATTCTGCGCCGACGCCGATGCCAAGCAAGAACCTAGTCAGGGAAAGGCGCGCATACAGTCAGCTGGCAGTGAAGAGAGGAGCTGTGAGACGCGCATATACACACCGACACGCACACAGCATGGAGAGCATGCCGCCGAAGCTGTGGTGAGCGCCGCTTGACGCGGCGGAAAGACCTGAAAAGAGGGCGACAATACCCGTTGCGAGCATCTGTACATAGCAGATTGCAGATGGCGTCAGCAAGCGTATATATGCGCGCGATGAGGACAAGTTGGAGCATATGTTACGCACCATACCGAACTTCCGGCCCAGCCTGTCGGAGAGATAGCCAAATACGAGCATTCCGACGATCGTGCCCGCAAAAGCAACACTGGAGAGGGTGTTGCTATAATTATGAGCGGCGACTGCATCGGCGCCGTATATGCGCTTCAGTACTAGTCGAATATTGAGACATCGTATATACTCCGGCTGGCAGTAAGGGCTTACAAGTGTTCACTGCAAGCCGACGGATGCAAACGTGAGCGCACTCCTTGTTAAAAACTCTCTGCACGCACCACTTCCGATCACATTGTTGGCATATCCTGCACGTTGCAATATACATCAGACACGTTCATACCATCTGTTGCTCAGATAATTCACCATCAGAGAACAGTGCTGTCCCACAGCTATACGTCAAAACGCGTTAGCCGTTTATCTGTCCACCGAGCACGATGACGCACTCACGCAAAGATCAAGGACACTTGGGAGAGGCTGGACCTCTTGGAGGGATTGGCGGCCATTTATCGAGTCTTCGCTCACAGTGAAGGGAGGGAGACAAGGGCTGGTGATGGCGCTGGCCATGGCGAGCGGGGTAGATATGGACGATCCAGCGTGCAATGGCAGGCGGTGGTCCGGAGGATCTGGTATCTTTTCTGCGTTGATGGCCCTGGTGGATTGCCTTTTCTAGCAACGCACGTTCGCGGTTGCCCCATGGCACCACTCGCGCTCCGCCACAGACTCCGATTTTTCACCAGTCTTACATCCCTACTGTTGTCTGCTTTCTGGTTCATTTCTGATTCCTGGGTCGTTTCTATCGCCGCGAGACTTGGCTTTAAAACTGCGCATGCACTGGGAGTTTGTGTGCTGACGAACGTAGTGCGTCTCGTTGGATCATGCGGGTGACAGCTCGTCCATGTGCTTCCCAATCAATGACGCGCGCACAAATAACTGCGCTTTCTTCTTTCCAAGCCTCGTTGAACGTTTCTCCTTACACAGCGCTCAGCATCCATGGGAAAAAGCCATCTCGTTCCAGCAAGTCAACATCTGCGATAGTATGACGGTCGCGGAGCAATCTGTCAATCGCCGAAGGGTTCGCTGTGGGAACAGGAACGTTATCAGCTATCTTCCTCAACCTTGGATCTTGCCAGCTATTTCGACATCGAATAACTGCCACGTTGAAGTACGCCGGGGTACTCAACCCTAGAGTGTAGAACTCTTTGGCTGGAGTTGCCTGCAACGCCAACGTGGGTCCTGCAATGGTACTGCCTAGTACGTTTTCTGTGTTTCAGCATCGGTCTAGGTATCGGTGCCCACAAGATACGTGCGCCGTGCAATATTCATGCTCAACTCAGACTCACGTTACGCCGCGAGCACCGTTTGCAATGTCAAATCCCTCGGCTAGTCCCATCGGCCAACTTACTATCTCCTATCCGCTACGACGGTGCAGTTGCATCCATACTCTGACCCGGCTGCTTCTCTTCTTCAATAAACTACGCGCTGTCAGACTCTCCTTGATCTTCACCTTCCGTGTCCGCGCATCTCTGAACTCAAAAGTCACACGTTCAGGGCCGACCCGTCATTCATTTAGCAGCAGGACGCACGTTCCTCAGCACGGCGCTCCGCGGCAGCATATCCGAGCTATCTTCAAGTGGCTGTCTCTGAAAATTTAGGGTGCGCCGCACTGAGCTCCGGAGGTTCTCTCACAGCACTGCCGCAGGTCAGGTACGATCGGACTGTGAATGAAAGATGCGTCATCGTGCGCCCCTCCGTCGATTTCAGGCTCAAACCTTTGCTCAGGCATAGCTATAGCATGTCCCGGCCTTACACAGCCTATTAAGCTCTCAATGTATTTCTTGTCCTAAATAACTCATGTGTCATGATGCCGCCGAATCGTGCGCCCTAATTCCTGTGGAGGTCAGCTGAGTGCCTGTCCAGCAGCGATGATAACAAAATGATGCGCGCTCGATTACGAGTCCTTTTTCTGTCTGGTGTTTCCAGCCAGCGAGTGGCATTCAGTTAAGCTTAACATGAAACCGATGCTCGCCTTCGACTTCTGTCAGCTCATCTCTCCACGAAGCGACTAGGCGAGTGTCACAGACTAGACTCAACACTCCTCTCACTGTCCATGATAGGGACGTGAACGTTTCTGTGTATTCGCGCAACTCTGAGTGGCAGTTTTTCTTTCGTGTTCTCTCTCCACAAGTTCGGGTATACGAGTCACCATCCTATAATGGCATCCTATATTTCTCTCTTGGTATGTGATAAATCGGAGTGGGAAGTGGGAATTCACATCTCTGCGTCATCAATCACTCCTTTTCTGGCATGCAGCCCGGATATTCCTTTTATGTTTTGCCTTCCAGCCGCTGCACTATCAGCGGAAGTTCCATATAGTTGCTGTCCTTGCCCACGGTGGGATAGATCGCATTCGCAACATTCCAGAAGATGTGCTTTTGAGATGGCGTAAACGAGAACCTCGTCAAGAGAACCGCCAACGAAGCCTCTGATAACATAAATAATCAGCGCCATGTATGTTCCACGTATGTTGGCAGTTTCAGCCCGACGTACTGATCTGTAGTTCGGCATATTTGAACCCACTATGCGAAACATGAGTGGAAGTTCTGGGCTATTGCGAAATGCAACACTCACATGCAGGACCTTGGTCCACCAGCGAATGTCATTCTAATAGGACACGATCTTTAGTCGATGGTACTTCATTGAAACGGACTCAAACATACAAATTTGCATATATTCCAGGGACGCTGATATCTTCGTCAGATGTGGTCGAGAACTCTTTAGAAAGCCAGCGTTCGGGCTTGAACTCTAGCGTGTCATCCCCCCACACGTCCTTGTTCGTATTGGATCCGAGCACGCCGATGATAATCTTCGTTCCTTTTGCAATAGGCAATTCACGTAAAAGTGTTCCATCGATCCCGCGAACAGGCTTTGAAAGGGGAAGGACAGCGTCCGCCAAGGCACTAGTGAAGGATAACAATTCAACACGGAATAATGTGGCAAAGGGTTGCACGTACTCCCGCATGGCGAGTGGGGCAATCGGGTCACTATCGGTACCATGAGACGTGTCGTAGTATCATGAGATCTACATCGCACATACAGTCGCAAGTGTTCCCGGTACACGCCGTTGAGAAGGGGTAATTGCATAAGCGTATCATATGGCAAGTCTTCACCGTTACTGGCCTCGAGAATTTCGCTACGAAGCTTCTCCTGCAAGTCTTTCCTGTGAGCGAGGTACTCCAGTATCTTGCCTGTCGTGTTGGATGTAGTCTCCATCCCTGCGAACATGAATGTACTGAAACAGACTCAGGTCAGTCGGTCGGTCCAAAGACATTGTGCCCCACGCCTACACGATCTGTGCGACTGCCTCCTCCTCCGGCACCTTGGCATCCTCAGATGCCTCTAAATGAGCCTTCACTGTGATGGCGCGATAATGAGAGTTTGCTAACTAATCAGAGACTTGACATACTCAATGTACCGATGATGCCCTGGTGCTCGTAGTCGCAGTCTGAAAGGTTTGTGGCCTCTCCCTGCAGTCTTGATTTATTCGCGTTGAAGATCTCCTTCGCCATGCTGTCCAGTGTATCCATGATATCCAGCATGTTCCTCATCGGCCGATACGGTGCCATATCCAGAACCTTTCGCCATATGGCCGGAGGGGCTAAGGGAGAAAATATCGGCAGCAAGTACTGCAGCCAGCTGAGCTCCAACATTGCCGCTCTGTCACCGGTAGATAGTGAGCATTGAGATGGCTGCAATATCAGATGGCGAAATGGCTGACAACAAAGATTTCACGGCGATTGCGCATTTGTTGGGCCTTTCCTCGACGAGTGAGTCCAATGAATGAGCCATACCACCCTTGCCTATCATCTGGAGGGAGGCGCGTCCAAGCCAGTGTAGTATATCAACCTCCTGGGGCTGTGCACCTATGCGAGAGCCGACAGCGTCACAAAGCTGTCAAAGGTTGGATTCCTCAGCAATGAATATGCGCGATGAAAATACAGAACCGCTCCATGCCCGGACGTGGACAAACCTTGTGCATAGTCTCGTACATTGCCGGCAGCATCGTACGCAAGCTGTTCGTCGAGAATGCGGGGTTCAATAGCTTGCGCTGTCTACGGTGGTGCTCCCCTATCAACGATTCATGAGACTCGTGGGAGAGATGGCGTCACTCCACGTACTGGTTACTGACCTTGTGTACCTAGCAAGCTGGGGCCAATGACCAGTGCAAATCCCCTGCCCGACAGTGAGCAAGTAGAATGAAACATGCCTCATGAAGGCTCGCCTGAGAATACCGTCCCACTGGTCGTATAGGGCCTGGTCCTTCACAAACATGGCCTGCAGTGCAAGTGGATCGGCTACATACAATGCCGAGCTCTGACGTGGAGTTCATCTTGTAAGTCTCTACAAAGCAAGCTTACAATACGTACGCCAAAAGGGCCGCTGAGTCGCACGACAGGACCGTAGTTTAGTGCAACATCCCTTTGGAACTCCGAACCGTAGCGATTGAAGTATCGGCCCAGATTTCCTGAGGACAGTGTAGGATGTAAGATCTGTGCCTGTTTATATAAAGTGCTCGACAGCGTACCAGTCAGAAACGACTTCGAAGGAGGACCAGGAATACCACGCAGCGGATCCTCGCTAAACAGCCAGCGGATAAACTTCCACAGCAGCCATGTCGCAGTCAAAAACGATAAAGTACGCAGGACCGAAGACATGCCGATACTGAACACGAGAAATAGTCACTCGGCTGGCATGCAACGTATATATCAAGGCCAGTCGGTTAGATAAGGTACCTCATCCCTTTGCTCAGCATGTGAAGCACGATTCGATGGCAGGCTACAGATGCTACTCGTCGACTCGCATGACCTTGGGGCGATAAGAGAGCTGGCCGCTGAATGGTCAGACATATCCACTGAGAAAAAACGACGAGGCTATTTACATCATTGCGTTTGCTTCTAAATGGCGATAAGGAGATCTTCGATGCCGCTTATTCATGACTAAATAGAACGTTAGTTGCCGTTCACTGCCAAAATGCATTTTCCAGGGCACGCACTGCTTCGCCATCTCAAGCTAGCAAGAGTTCTGGCTGCATTCAGTCCCTCCGCGAGCCTACACAACGAAGATCGTCTTCACTCACCTGCTCATCTCTGCTCATCCGTTCTACACACCAAAACCAATTAGTGTCCTTCTTTCTTCCCACCTCCACACACGATGCCGTTATTGCCCCTGACCTTATCATTCGCACCTCTGTCAAGCTCGAATCCCAGGCAAACGACGTTTCGCACTACCTCTTCTCTTGATTCCGCACTCTTCTGCCCAATTCCACTCGAGAACATCAGCGCATCCACCTTGCCCCTCAGCCTGACGAAATATGCCCCTACCGCACTGGTGATCCGATCCGTAAACAAGTCGAACGCTAGTTAAACATCACCCTCCCAATCATCCAACGAATGGCCGTCGCCCCTTCGTTCGATGCACGACTCGCCGAAGTCTGGTGTCCCCGTTATGTCATGCCAGCCGCTTTCGGCATTGAGGATAGACTCTGCTTGAGTAACGCCCACGTCAATTGCTGCGCTTGAGTCGTGCACGATACGCCCTGCACGGTTGATATAGCGGAATACGAGTGAAAGATCGACTGCGCAGCTGAGTGTCGCTCCAGGCAATCCAGTGAGTGTAGTGTCGAGCGAGCGACCGTTTCGGATCGCACAGGCAGACGCTCCAGAGCCGAGGTGCATAACTATCAAAATGAGAGACAATGCGGGCTGTTAACAATGGCGTGAGTTGCCTGTGTGCACGTACAGCAGGGAATATGTACCTTCTGTAGATAGTGTCTAACTAATCCCAGGATGTATGCACCTGACATAAAGCGTATCGTTTGATGAATGTGTATCAGAAGTGCTAGCAAACGACTTACAGCTAAGTCCGTGGAAGCCGAACTTCTTAAGCCCTCACCTCTGAGCGACCTCGGGGTTGATCGCATAACTCGCAATACGGAGGGGATGGACTTTGGCAATGCTTTGATGCAGATCTGCATGACGGAACGCTTTGCCCCTTTGTAACTAAAAGTGGACGTGTAAGCCTCATGATACCTGAAAAGCGACATTTTCACTTACAGAGGTGCGACATCAGTGAGCCTCCCAATGTGAGGCAGCTCTCCTCATTGATAACGACTGGGTCGAGACAACGGAGGAAATGAGCGAACACGGCAGCGTGATCATCGATCTGTCAATCTTCTGCTCTTCGCCTCACGCCCTTCCTCAGGGTGAAAAGCATTTTGGAAGGTGAAGGACCCGGTGAGGAGGATATATTGGTGATGCTGGAAGTGAGAAGAAGATTGACAACTGCGTGTGTGGGCATCGGGTCGTTCGAGATCTTGAGGCGGTCGTAGAGGGAGATTTTCAGAGATGACGAGCCTGCATTCACCACAAGAACGAGTTCCCTTCACGATGCGGATTTAGGGAATGACATTATTTCCGACCAGAATGGCGGTGTTGCCCGGACGTATAGCGGGCCTGAAAGTCATCATCAATGTTCGAATTCTGCGAAATATTCTGATCTGAGCTAAATCTGCTTCCATGTACGCTTGCAACTTCGTCGAATTATCTGAAGTGCATAATGATAGCGATGCAAGCAATGTCATGCTCAACCTACGGACGATGGCACTGATAACCGCACGACGATTTGCATTCCATTCCCACTGCTAATGTTGAACGGCGTTCAATTATACCTTTCGAAGCCACCACCACTGGTCCCAGAGCTCTTAGAGAACGAAGCGGGCTCTAACGTCACGACGTGGAGACGCATGCTGGAACGATCACGACTGGGTGTGGATGTACCTACCTCGACGAAACTCCTGAGCACACTGCGAATCGCAGAAAGAGTGAACCAACGAGTTCGTGGTTGGAGAGTCGATGATTGAAGCGTAGAAACGTTGGAAAAGGATTGTTTTCTAATTCAGCATGATGGCGCACAGGCGAAGCGCTCTTAGCTGGCTTACCCGCCGAGGCGGCCGCTGAATGCAGCGCCCAGAATGCCAGTGGCAAGTATAGTGTTCCGAAAATCGTCACTCACGTTCAACGGTCCTTGGTTAATAAGGGCCAGTGAACATCGAGGCGTTGGTCAATGCAATCGCATCCACATTTCAAGTTAGCACTCATTAAGAGGTGGCATTATAAGGACTCTGACAGAAACCGCAAACTAGTTCGAGGTTACACTGGAGACGAGCAGGGAAGCTGGAAGGCGGGGGGAAGGCGAGAACAATGAGTAGGGCGGAAAGAGGCAATATAAAGTTTAAGCTCCGAAACGCGACAACAATGCGTCAACAACGCGTCTAGTACCACCCATCACGGCGTATGTCTCTATCCTACAACCCGCTACTAAAAAATCACCATGCTTCTTGTGCTTTCTTGTGGCTCCGGAATCAAAAGTGCTACGTAGAAATCTGACTGTATGTGCTGAGATCTATAACTGTGCCAGGACGTATCATATTCAAGTTGAAATGATTAATCACTACCAACCAAGCTCACAACTCTGTCAAACGAAGGACGACTTCCCGCAGGGTGGGCGCACCATGGCCCATTGCGGAAATAGACGCGTCAAATTTCCTGTAAGTACCGTTTTTTAAGCTTTCCAGTCGACTGGTCAAGAAGCACGATAGCGCTTACAAGTTGCTCGTACCCCATGTGAGGCATAGTCTCCCGTGTGAATCGATACGTACAGTATCTTCGAAGGACTGCCACCGCAGTTGCTCAGAATGAGGGTCTGATAAGCAACTCATGGTTCCTCGAATATATAAGCGTTGTTCAGTGGCAATCAGGGAATGCCAAGAAGATCTACGGGACTGCAGATTGTATGCAACGGCAAGATATGAAGTCATGCAAGTATGTCTTGCGTTTGCTTCTACTTTGATCACAATGTTGACATTTTCTCTCACATAGGCGCACTTTGCGAACAATGGCCCCAGCTTGTGCTCTCACGATCGCACTTATATTGTGATACCATTTGTCGGACTATCGCAACATGGCGGTTCATACGGCCCCTCTGCAAGCCTTTGGGCTGACCATAACAGCATGTATCTCATGGAGAATCGCTCGCTGGCTCGCTGCGAACAAACCACTTGACAACTTGCCCGGGCCTCCTTCTCAGTCCTCCCTTTATGGTACATCCCTGAAAGAGACGACCTTGATCTTATTTAACGATGTCCGCAGGGAACGTAGGCCAGTATTTCGATCGTTGCAGGCTCGACTCCCACCTCAAAGTTGTTCAGAACTATGGCCCAATTGTCAGACTTCGCGAGTTCTTCGGTGTGTGCGCTTCTCGGCTTTTTGTCGTAGTGCATGCTGAAGGCCCGCTTGCCTACGATAAAGCCCTGTATTGTACATCTATGATCCTCTGGCCTTGCAGGCAATGCTTGTGAAGAACCAAAACCAGTACGAGCAGTATGAAGAATTCACGAGGTGCGAGCGCTGTCATTTCTATCATATTCTGTCGCGCTAATAATTCACATAGACAGACGGGCTTCATGTTCGGTCACCACCTCCTGGCTATCCGAGGTGAGCGTCGGCCATATATGGTCAGAACTGATGAGTAAACGGAAGGTGAGGAACATCGCAGGCAGCGCAAGCTGATGAACCCTGCGTTTTCCCCGAACAGACTTCGCACCATGCTGCCGATATTCTACAGTGTCGCCCGTAAGGTACGCACATATCTTGTTATCGCTTGATGTAGTTCAGTCACAATGGTATCATTTCAGGTTCGTGTCGCGCTCGCGACACGCGTTGATGATGCCTCCAAAGAGATCGACATTCTGCATTGGCTCGGTCGTGCTTCTCTTGAGATAATTGGACAGGGCAGTATGGGATGGTCACTTGACTCTCTTGTAAGTGAAGGGAATAACCAGTATGCAGAAGATGTGAAGGTCGTCCTGTCAGTCTGTAATTTCATGGAAGATCTTACAGTCAGCTCATGCTCTCGAAGCGCAGAGGTTTTTAAACTGAACTGATTCGCGGCATTATTGCCGTTCGCGGAAGCGCTGGCGCCGGGGTGATTCTGGAGGAAAGTGGTGGATGTGCTACCATACGAGCCCCTGCGGAATGTCACAAATATCTTCGACAGATTGTATGATAAGAAGAGGCAGGTCTACGCGGCAAAAGTCAAGAATACGCACGAAGGCGATGGACTTGTAGCAGTGTGGGAGGACCCCGACGACGATAATATTATCATCAGCGTTCTTGGTACGTGCTGTCTCAAGACAATATTACCACGGATTCCTTGATCGATCTCCTCTACCAGTGAAGGCCCATGTCAGGGCCCCAGATGACGAGAAGATACCGATTGAGGAGGTCTTCGCACAGATCAGGTATACCAACTCGGTGAAACTGAGCAGGTCTTTTATGTCTACGCGCTGTGCAGCACTTTCATCTTTGCTGCAATCGATACTGCTTCCAACACCATCGCCCGAGCCCTCGAGCGCCTTGCTCACCACCAAGATGTCCAGGAGAGGCTTCACAAGGAAATTCTGGATGCCAGCGACGGCAAAGATCTGCCTTTTGAAAGGTTGATGCAGCTTCCATACGTGGATGCCGTCTGCCGTGAAAGCCTTCGGCTGCGAGTTGGCTGTGCACTGTCAGCGATTTTCACTAATGTATCCGCAGGGATCCCATCGGTACGCTTGTGATGAGAGAGTTAGTACGCCACTGACAACATACCTGTGTCACATTGAATTTTATTGCCCAGTGCATTAGTGGACAATGTGGTTCCTCTATCTCAGCCGATTTGTGGGACGGACGGGCACTCATTCATGGGCTGATCATTCCGAAGGGTATGTATTTGTGGGTAGGCCAAAGTCCTGCATGTGAGTGATGGATAGCATTGGATTTAGATGAACGATCAAGCTCATGTTCTTTCTGCAGTAGATTCAAATACGCTGAGATGCAGATCAGTAAGGCTTTCTACATGAGTATGGCAAGCTTGCTTTCTCACAGTGTAATCATCGCAGAAGTCATGATATTCACCCTGCTATCCGGACTAAGGTTCGAAGCCTCAAAACAGCGCGTTGTCTGCAATATTGCGAATGTGCAGTATTCGACTGTGGGCAGCGAGAGCGATCATGCGCAGCTTCCTCTTTCAGTGACACGGGTGAAAGAATTCCACGAAGGCTGATACCTGTGTTCCAGAGTTGCGCACTGCTGTCCGTGACATTTGGGCGCAGATGCTGAGGAAGAGATGGTAGTAGCATTATTTATCGGGTCGATCTCGTATCGTCGTCAGTCATGCACTCGCACAACACACGAAAACGCGTAATATCATAGCCCTTGCTCTTTCTTGATACATGCTGACATGCACGCCAGTGAATGTTCTACCAGTCCTTTCCAATATAGTAGCAGAGGGAAGCTGCTCACATACTCCAGACTGTCATGCCGGTCGCGCCACAGCATGACTGGTATGATTCGATCCCCAGCAAAATATCCTGCTACCATTCCGATCTAACGTACATCTTGGTACATGGTCACACCTATGACAAGTAAACATCCGTCTGAATCGCCAATCGACCATCATAGATACAGCGGTGCACATCAAGATACACTGCATAGGACGGCGACCTAGTGCGCAACCCCCATACATTGATGATGGCATAGACGTCCGTCGGAGTAAGATCCAAAGAATTCGCACGGTTGGTCAGATGCAGTGCCTGCCAATAATTTGTGAGCGGTGATGCCTGTGGTATCGGACGACACTCACCTGATAGAGCTGCCTCTGACTCACATGAAAAGGCTCGCGCACCAGCCCACCGGTCGCCTTGACCTCTATGTGGTACGTTGGCCAGTTGTTTGCCCAGGCTTTTCGGACTTGTTCCCCATACCACAAACCTGTGAGGATACCGTTCTTATCTAGATACTTGAAGTCCGCAAGCGCATCACCATCATATGTGGTGAAGCCCTGTACTTCGCCGCGAAGCTCGCTCGTCCAATTCGCCTCTCTGAAGCCGGGACCCAAGAAAGAGTGTAGCAAATGAAAGACCTGTGTTCAAAAAACAAGTGAGCAGACGGTGAGTTCTCGCCAAACTCAATACTCTCACATATAGTTCGCCTTGTATGCCTGTCAGACGCTCAGCATCAGTAGAAGGCGCAATGGCGACATTTCCGTGGTATAGCCCGTGTGCACTAGGTGCAGAATTTGCCCCAGCACCCATAGGAGCATACAGTGCCATTGCAATCTGGCTCCCAGCCTGTATGTCGTGAGTGACGAGACCTGCGGGGTGCATCTGCCCAGAAATAGATGCAAGAGGGGACCCTTCATTCTGGGGCATACGAATGTCCACGGCATGTGGCATTGTCTTGGACTGCGTAGTAGGGAGGGCAATAGGAGCGACAGAAGTTCGAGGAACAAAGGGGCTTCCGAGAGGATTCAACCCATGAGCTTTCGCAGCCTTTGAAGCCTTCTGTCCACCTGAGTCGACAGAGATAGGAATGGCCGCTGTTTTGTCATGAGCGGAACGATCGCTGTGCATAGACGAGCTCGAAGTATGCATATGGGTGACGGCGGGTTCAGATTTCGAGGCATTGTCATTGAGATTCAGCATCCGTATCGCCATACCATCTGATTCCGAGTTTGCTCTTTTTGAGAGACGGGAAAGGAGCGGTTTAAGAGTTTCACGACGAACAGGAAGATCTTCAGGCGTAGCAGGTTCGGTGTCGTCGGGATTGTCATCTGATGATTCTGTCAGAGGCTCGTGAGCAGCGACCTCGACAATTCCTGTGCCCAACGGAGAGTGATCTCGCAGAAGCTGGTATTCTGCTGGAATACTCGTAATGCCTTCTTCATCAAGGTCTGCTCCAAGATCATCCAACTCCGTGTCAATGAATTGCTGCAGCCTCCTCCTGTCCAAGCTAAGACGCTCCGCGAGTCGACTGCAAACTTCCCGGTCGCGCTTCTTGGAATTGACGCTGCACGCTTTCGTTACAAGCACGCGGACATGGTCAGAATGTTCTTCGATAGAAGAATTGGCGGTATCGTGGACAATGTGACATCCCAAGGTGAGCGTTGAGGAGATCGAGTCGACAATCTCTATTCTCATATCTTTCAATTTGATCAAAAACGCGGACTGGTCGGGTGGGATTCTTGCGCCTCGCTTGTGATAAAGTTCTCTGGTGTTATTTGCATCAGAGTATCGGATTCAACCGATGAGGGAGGGGTCTCACCTCTCGACATATTCTAATCTACATTTATACTCTGCAGCTGCAGATTCATCCATTGTTCTTATGCCCCACGCGGACATCTTCGATAAGATGGAATGTTCAAGGTATCGGATGGGCTGATTCCAAATATTGCAATCGAGCAACGGCTGTATGCGGACGAGTGACAGCGTTGGGGAGACAGCCAATAGAAGCACTTTGTCCCGGAACCTGTCTGCAAGATTGCCATTCCTGTCAGGGACATAGAATTCGTCGGCCGCTTTGAGTACAGTCTGACCTTCCCTGTTGGGTATATGCACAGGGAAGATCGGCTGCATGGCGAGCTCATGGATGGTGAATGCGACAGCTGGATCTGCAACCAGGTAATCAGTAATGTCGAGTATCTTGTCTTCAACGTTCGCGGCAATCAAGGGGGGGAGAACATGCCCCTTCCATTGCCTTGCTAGATCCTTGAACTCGTTCACGAGAATCCAGAGGGGCGCATCCTTAATGCTTAGTCTGTTGCGGAAAAAATCTTCCAAAGTCGGATACAGACGCTTCAGAGTGGCCTTCGAAGTCATGGACGGCGGTCCGTCCCAATAGACGTCGCTGAATTCTACCCATGACCTTTCGTTTTCCTTGAGGTTTCGCGAGGCGTATAGAAGAGGGTGCTGGTGGAAGGCAACACTGTGCGAAGCTAAGCATTATGATCGGTGACACTGCCATTTGAAATACGTACTGAAGGGCTGTCGGATTTTCATGAAACCTAGCGTCAAGTTGTCTGTAGATTTCCGTAACCATGTCCTCGTCTTGGCATTCGTCATTCTGGAGTCGAACGAGTATCTTGATATAGGTCTCCAGATTTACTTCAGTCATCACTCCAAACTCCGCGAGGAAGTCCCATCCGGCATCGTTTGGGTCCGACGCTGGCAGGAAGTGCAGGTAAGTGTTACGCATGCGCCGCAAGGCATGTCGCCTCAACGCAGTGCTGCTGAGCGGATGTCTGCCATCATCGCAAGAGACAATGATCCGGGATAGCTGGGATACGCCTTGTGGAGAAATAATGCGAGAGAGCTGAGGCCAATACTCTCGCAGGACAGATAGTAGTCTCGGGGTCTCCAGCGACCACGTCATTTGCTGTAACTCTAGAGAAAGTTGTCCGGAAACTAGTCGTGGAGCTGTATTCACACCGAGACTGTCCTGGATCCAGGGGATCCAATAGCGGTCTTGATGAGCGTCGCTGTACGCCGAATGCAGGAAACGGCTAGTCGACGGTAGGATGCTGCGGAGTGGGTTCCTCCTGTCTGGTAGATCCAGATATAACTCATCCGCGTGAGCTATACAGTAATCCTCATCCATGACCTGGAGAGCGGATGGAGAAGGAAAATCAGGAGCTCGGCGATGCTCAAAAAAGAATCGGGCATAAACAATCAACACTTCGAGCGAGGCCGGCGCCTTCGACTCTAGAATCCGCTCCGCGACCACGGCCGGTCCTGCTCGTCTGACCCCTAGCGCAGAGTAGAGACGATATCTCGTTGATGTTTCTTTGATGCCTCCTCTGATACTTGACAGCTGCAATTCGTCGAAGCCCTCCAGATCGGAGATGAAGACGTGGTCCGCTGCGGTCTTCGCAGCAGCCCAGGAGCCATTACTAAGAGGAAGGAGCTGAAGTTCCATAATCGCAGGATGGAATATCCCATTCAGCCTTGGCATTCTTCTGAACATAATGTCGCAGACAGCCTCGTGCCATTCGTCGGACTGGCGTGGGAACGCGTGATCCATTCGAGTGAGACTTTCAATGAAGTCGATGTCAGACATGGTTCGTACGCCCAAGCGCGTCAGGAACATGATATCGCGAGAGGCATCGTATGTCTTCGCCAAATACCGGAGGCCTTTAGCCAAGAACGTCGAAGGTATCAGAGGCTTTCCATCATTGGTGCATAGATATTCCGGAAGGATGAGGAGTCGCTCGGGGTGGGAAAGAAGCCCATCAGTAGACCGCAAGACTGGACGGGTTCTTAACAATAACGCGATATGATCCGCAATTTTGCCGAAAGGATCCTTCACTTCCAATGGGACGAACCGAATCCAAGTGTCTTTGAGAACCGGATGCTCCTGAAATCGGTTCGCAGCGCTCAAGAACGTAGTGACGATCCCCGGAAGTAATGCAAGATTCCATTGAGAGTCTATGATAATGGACTCTCGGCTCGATGACGTGAGGAAATCGGCCTGTATGACGAACTATCCACTACAATTTAGCCCAAACCCAAGTCGCTGGAGTCGGATGGTAGGAACGCACCGTGAATCCATACTTGATCACAGGGAGGAAAGCGTAGACATGCTGATTGGCAATGATTGGTTCCCCTTCGAGTGTTACTGGAAACGCTAGAACGATTTCGCTCTGCTCGATGCCTTCTCTCTTCGGTTCGCCAGCATATGTTGGAACGACATGCTTCACCACGGTATATCTGCACTTGAAGACAGATTGTCCACTTTCCACGCGCTCGAGCTCCATGATGTCTGGAGCTGGGTCAATTCGGGAGATGATAATGTCGTTCGTAAACGGGTACTTGTTCTGGGTTACACGCATTCCGACTGAACGCAATTTGCGGAGAAAGAGTAATAGGGAAGGCTGAAAGTCGCGTAACTGCTCGCTCAGTTCTCCCAGATGTTCTTCCTGAGCGATATCCAGCCGGAATGTTGTCCAGCCCGGTTCCACCTGGTGCGTCTGATCCCATATCGGGTTTATCATGCCAAGCTGTGCGTCTCGATCAAATCTGAATGTGTAAACATTGGATGCGACGTGGACTTGGGATGCAACGACAAAGGCAGCCTTGAATCCTGTACATCCGGTTATTGACACATAATCGAGAGCGGAGAATCTGCTTACCAATCCCCTTCTCGCCTAGTATTTCAATTCGATCAAAATTGCTACTTTGAGCACCAGCATACTGGACATACCGATGTATCCTTGTTCTCCTTCACTTTTTTTCTTTGTACTACCCCCTATATCGCAAATTGCTTTTACGTTCTCCGCCGTAAATCCTTTCTCGTTGCATCTGATTATCATCCGGCGTTGCTCCAGGTGCAATTGCAACGTCGGAATAGTATCGGCATCGTAGTTATTATCGTCTGCATTCTGTATGAACTCGAGAAGAAAGTGGGTTTTCGTGTTATATAGGTCCGTCGACAGGCTAGAAATCCATCAGAGATGTTAGTTTACATGAGAATGGCTGCGCACCGTTCACAAGCTCTCTCCAGTTTACCCCGAAGTACGACGATTGGGTCGTCCGGGGGCCGTATGTTGATATTGTCGTCGAGGCCGTGGCTACGATTAATACTGGTGACGAGGTCCATGGCTGAAGTGCCAGAATCCAGCCTTCTTGTCTTCGCGATATAGACTTGGACAAGAATTGTGCACGTTGCCGAGGCTGTGATGAGACATCAAACTCAAAGACCACACTGTGTACAAGAGCGCCCGCATATTCGAGCGGCAGAGCATGCCGCTTGGCTCCAATCTGGGTGAATGACGACTTACATCTTCAATCGTGGGCTCGAGCTCTAAGAGAAAGAAGTAGACTACCAGGTACTATGGATTGTGATAGCTGCACGGTAGATTACTGGCAAAGGATAGTTGTTAATTTAATGATGATCGCTGTCAGCGAGTCCTGAAAGGGGAAGGCCTGGAGCTGAGCATAGTCCGTACACATCAAAGTGACTGAGCTACAAAGGAGGACGAGGATGAGGAGGCACTCTCGCCGATTCACTGTACACACGGCGTGACAAGCTGTGATGCAATGTGACTGTACGCGTCAGGCTATCCAGCACGCAGACCTGCATGTGAGGCCACCGCTTCCTGTAACAGGGCTGCACTACTAAAATGCACGTAGAATTTTATGCGTAGGAGATCACCATTCGTTCTATCAATCCTCAGCTTTAGGCACTCGCGCAATACATGAAATCATCATTGTCATTCGCGGTATCAGCCAAGAAGAGTGCTTTACAATCAAATTATGGCAAGAAGTTTCAAGCGGCTGTGTGTCGTGTCTTCACTGAGTATGTCAGTAGCAGTATCATAGCAATGAGAGATAGACATCGGACTGAATCGACAAATTCCCATCATAGATGCGTCGGTGGGGATCAAGAAACACCACGTAAGAAGTGGATGCACCACGGATCCCGGTGACGAGGATGATCACGTAGACATCGGTTGGAACTATTCCGGGCGAGTCCGTCCGGCTTGTCAAGTGCAATGCCTGCAAACAATCTGTTACTAAGTATGCATATGTAGTCGGACTCATTGACAGGTACTGACCATCTCCATTTGCCTTTGGCTCACATGAAAGGGCTCACGCGCAGACCCGCTCGTTGTCTTAATCTCGAGATGGTATGTTGGCCACCTACCTGCCCAAGTGGACTTAGTCTGATTCCCATACCATAAGCCTGTCAATATGCCCTTATCATCCTTGTATCTGAAATCGGCCAGAGCATCACCCTGGAAAGGCGTAAAGCCGGAGATCTCGCCGCGGAGCTCGCTCGTCCAATTCTCCTCATTGAAATCAGCTCCTAAAGTCTGCTGCAGCACTTCATAGATCTACACGGCGTGACGTGATTAGTACACATCTGAAAAGTGACAGCCCGACGCTACTCACAAAATATTCGCCCATGATGCCGTTCTCACGATCATTTGCAGCCGATGGGGCGACGGCCATATCCTTGTTTTCTGATGCTTTTCCAGATGACTTCCCATGTTTTCCTGCACTGATAGGAGCGGCGAGGTTGCCCGCGGTGCGCGCTTGAAACCGCGAAGAACCTGCACTCAGGACTTGGCTGGATGAAAGCAACGATTTTGCCGCTTTTGCCCGGAAAGTCCGCACGTCCACATTTGTTTTTTCAGCTTCCACGTTTGACTTCGCTCTGCGATGACCTTGTGTGCCTGCTGATGAGAGACGAATGGCCGCAGCTCCTGATGATTCTGTAGAAAGGATTCGGGGGCTAGCATCGACAAGAGTGCCATCTTCGTAGCGGGCATGACAATGTAGACGACGGGCTTCTGCTGGGATGGCTGTAATACCCTGCTCGTCCAACATCTCCTCGACCTCGTCAAGTGGTGTATCAATCAACGTCTGTAAGCTCATCCTATCCAAGCCCAAGCGGGTGCCAAGGAGGCTGCAGATCTCTCGGTTGCGCCTCCTGCTACTGTTCGTACAAGCCCTTGCTACGAGTATAGCGACACGTCCTACTTGCTCTTCAATCGAGGAGTTTGCATTGGAAGTTACAGTATGCCCTCCTAAAGTCAACGTGGAAAGGATGGAGTCAACGACCGTAACCGTCATTGTGTCCAATTTCTGTAGAAACTCCATCTGCTCGGAAGAGCCTCTCTTGTGGTAAAGATCTCTACGAACTTGGTGTGAGCAACAGCATGCATTGCGCAACAGAATACACACCTCTCGATGTATTCCAACCTGCTTTTAAATTGCTGCATTGCCTGAGTGTCCTCTGTTCTTGTTCCAGACGCCTTGGTTTGCGATCTGACCGAATTCTCGAGATACAGTGCTGATTGCTTCCAGATAACAGAGTCCAGTAAGGGTTGTATCCGAACAATCGAAAGCATCGCGGACACGGCCAGGAGGGGTACTCGATCAAGGAAGTGATCGGCGTACTTACCGCTCCTGTCTGGGACGTAGAACAGGCCCATGGCTTGTAGCCTTGGACTATCTCTCTTCCCAGGAAGAAAAACAGGGAAGATCGGCTGTTGTGCGAGTGGTGACAAAGTCGACGCCGCCTTCATATCTCGGACAAGATAATCAGTGATCTCAAGGAGCTTGCCCTCAATGTTGAGAATGGTCGACTCAGGCAACGGTTTTCCGTTCCATTGATTAGCGAGGTTCTTGAATTCATCTACAAGAGTCTGCAAAGAGGCGTTTTGCATTCCGAGCTTGTCTCTGAAGAAGTCCTCCAGTGTCGGATACAAACGCTTCACGAGCACCTTAGAACGGAGCGACCGTGGGCCGTCCCAGTATGCATCGCGAAGCGCAAGCCATGTATGCGAGCCACCTTCGCGTGCTCGGGGGACATAGAGTAAGGGATAGTCCTTGAACGCGGAACTATGCAAATGGATGAACATTGATTGTCTCGCGGAACACCATCGCGTAGAGCTCACCAGATAGCACCAGGATTGTCGTGGAACCTAGCGTTGAGCTGCTTATAGGTTTCCATAATCGAGGATTCCTCTTGACATTTCGTCTGCTGCAGATGTATGAGAATCTTGATGAATGTACCCAAATCGGCATCGATCATGACGCCGAGTTCTCCAAGGAAATTCCATCCATGGTCGTTTGCGTTCAACATAGGCAAGAAACGAATGTGACCATTGGGAAGGCTTTGAAGAGCCCTCCTCCTCAATGCAGTCGTTTCGAGTGGGTATCTGCCATCTTCACATGTCACAATCATTCGCGACAATTGGGTTTTACCTTCTTGAGAGAGCTTTCTAGACATCTGAGGCCAATACTCCCGGAGGACCAAGAGCAAGCGAGATGTCTCTAGCGTTTGCGTCATCATCTGAAATTCCAGTGATAGTCGTCCGGACACGACTCGAGGAGCTGTGTTGACACCAAGACTGTCTTGTAGCCACATTGTCCAATATCGGTCCTGGTAAGTATCGGTGTAGGTCGGATGTAGGAATCGAGCGGTCGAGGGAAGTATACTGCGCAGCGAGGTTGTCTCAGTCTCTTTGTCATTCGATAGATCCAGGTATGATTCTTTGCCATCTGCCAAGAGCCCGCGTTCGTCCACGACTTTGAGAGTCGAGGCAGAAGGCATACCACGAACTCGCCGATGTTCAAAGAAGAATCGGGAATAACGCAATAGCGTCTCGGGAGCAGTCGATGTTTGCGAGGTCAGAATGCGTTCTGCGATGAGAGCTGGTCCGGCAGGTTTGACCCCGAGAGCGGCATAGAACCGGTATCTGGAAGACGTCTCTGGGATGCCCTCTCTGATGCTCGAGAGTTGCAACTCCTTGAACTCCTTCAAGTCGGAGACGAAGACATGGCTCGGGGCAGACTTCGCGGACGCCCAAGAGCCATCATTCAGAGGGAGGATTACTAGATCTAGGATTGCAGGTTTAGCTTTCCTCCCTTGCTTGCCCTTCGTGATCTTGTCGTGCAATTTACCACACACGAGTTCGTGCCAGGAGTCGGATTGTCGAGAGATTTGGTTACCCATTCGTTTGAGACCATCAAAGAAGTCTTGGTCATTCATGGTGCGCACACCGAGCCGTTGCAGATAGATCATGTCCTGGGACACGTTATAGGATTTTGAGAGGTAACGGAGTTTGCCGGACAAGTACTGCGCAGGGATGAGGGGTTCCCCATCAAGGTCGCACAATTCTCTTAGAACAACGATCAGGTGGATAGGATGACAAAGCGCTCCATCCGTGGACCGCAGTACAGCGCGCTTCGCGAGCATAGATGCAATGCGTTCTGCCACCTTAGCAAAGGGCTGTTTGGGACGTAAAGGAACAAAACGAATCCAGACATCTTTGAGGACCGGATGGTCTTGGAACCTATCAATGGCGATAAAGAAGGCATCACTGATGCCCAAGAATAGCCTCTCGTTCCATCGGGAGTCTGCTAGGATCGATTCCCGGCTTGATGGGGTTAGAAAGTCTCCTTGAGTCACGAACTGTCCTCAAAAAACATAAGACAAAAAAACCGAGTAGACAGATAATATACGCACGGCGAAGCCATATTGGCTTACAGGAAGAAATGCGTGAACGTATTGATCCGCGAGTATCGGTTGCTCGTCAGATGTCATAGGAAACGCTAACACGACCTCGCTCCGTCCGATTCCCTCTCTCTTCGGCTCGTCGAGGATGGTCGAGACCATGTGCTTGATCACAATGTACCTGCATTTCAGCACGCTCGTTCCGTTCTCCCAGCGCTCTAGCTCGACGATGTCCGGAGCGGGATCATTCCGCGCAACGCTGATTGTCCGCATATGTGGATAATTTGCGGTGGTCACCCGCATTCCGATTGAACGCAGTTTACGGAGAAAGAGCAGTAGGGACGGCTGTATCTCGCCTATCTGCTTACTCAGCTTTCCCATATGCTCGTGCTCCGCTATGTCCAACCGAAATGTCGTCCAGCCCTGATCAACATTGTGAGTGGCGTCCCATATTGGATTGATCATGCCCAGTGGCGCATCGCGATCAAATCTGAAAGTATAGGCGTTGGACGCGACATGCACTTTGGATGCGACGACAAACACCGCCTTGAAACCTACGGCAGCAATCAACAACATGATGTGTGTCACGACAGGCATCAAGCTAACCTATTCCCTTCTCGCCTAGAGTTCAGATGTTAAGTAAGTTTGTCAGCAGAGATTTCTAGCGGAGATATCCATAAAACCACACCAATGTATCCCTGTATCAACTTATCCTTCGTCTTCGTGCTTCCACCTATATCGCATATCGCCTTCACATTAGCAGGCGTAAAGCCTTGCTCGTTGCATTTGATCGTCATCTGGCGACCTTCCAGTTGGAGCTGCAAAGTCGGAACTGAACCGGGCCCATAAGCGTTATCATCCGCGTTCTGGATGAACTCGAGCAAGAAATGAGTCTTCGTATTGTACAAATCTTTGGACAAGCTACACGAATCCGTCAGGCACGAAAAGTGTGCACAAGAGAAGTCGCTCACCGTTCACAAGCTCGTTCCAATTTGCCCCGCAATACGACAATTGGATCCTCTGCTTCGAGGGTTTCGCGAATGCTGCCCAGTCCATGACTGCGATTGATGCTATTGATGAGGTCCATTGCGAGAGTGTGAGGAACCGAGCATCGACCTGCTGTAGACCCTCTTATATATGTGCGTAAATTTTGACGTTTCGACATCAAACCTAATAACCGCATGGTATCCGCGAAGGCATCCCAACATGTTGTTACTTGTTACCGATTTGGAATGTGCCAGACAGTGCCTGTTCGGCCCTGTTGCATCCGTTCGAAGTGACCGAGTGACGGCACTTCTGGTGGAACGCGGCGCGCGCTCAACGCGTGGGGAGGTGAAACGCGTCGCAGGGCGGTACCTGAAAACGGAGCGGGAGAGCACGGAAGGGCGGAAAATCATATAAATACGCACCTGTGGTACTGAACTCCCCAGTCGTTTGTGGCCCTAACCGGCCTCTCACTCTTCGCGCCCACGAGACCGCGCCCACGAGACAGGAAGGTAGCGGCTGGCTAACACCAGGGCCGCACCATGAACTTTTTCCTAGAGCATCCTTCTCTCTTGATCTGTTGAGACCAGGCTGATACCTCCGTAGCAAATCAGTTACTGAACGATGCATGTGCAATTGGCGGACTACGGCTATCCATCATTGACGAGCGTCACATCGACGGGTAACCGCGCCTAGTAGAGACTCGAAGCCGGTGAATAGCTATCCAGGATCGGGTCAAGTTTTTTTTTAAGAATATATGTTGTCCAGTCTCTCTTCCGCATTAGTCGCGCTTGTGAAGGATCCATCATCCAGCGATTGAGATCCCCGAAAGCATGACGCAGGATGCGCGAATGATAGCATTTGTCTGTGACAGCGGGCAAGCGTTGAGCATACTACCACAGCGAATTCGTTGAGGGAAAAAGGGACTCGAGTTGATCAGAATGCCTGCGCCGGTGGCACTGCGCGCAGCCCCGCATGCCCAAACTCGGCCATCGGCAGTGCTCGCGGTGTTGCGTTCTTGCGAACAACCTCTCACTTATTCCACGCGGGTCGACCGATATTTTATGGTGTGTTGATCGACACGTCCCGGCGCGGCGTGACTCATCATCACGCGTCAGGCTGCAGTTTATGTAGGCCGTCCTTGTTCAACAAAGGATGCACAGCTGGAGCACACGCACAGTCGTGTGCGTGGAAATTATCAGTTTTGCTACCACTGTCCGGCAACACTGGCGTATTAAACAAGAATTCAACATTGTCATTTGTGGCGTCACCTGTGGCAGGACGTGATAGAGCGCCTGTCTATTAACGGTTAGCACACACTGGTGTGAAGTGATGTGTGATTCATTGAGCGCGTCATCGGCTGAATCATTACAACGAAAGGTAGACATCCGATTGAATCAACAAATCGCCATGATAGATGCATCTGTGGGGATCAATGAACACCATATGAGATGGGGATGCACTGCGGATTCCGGTTACGAGGATGATCACGTAGACATCTGTCGGAATTATTCCTGACGAGTCGGACAGACTCGTCAAGTGCTGCGCCTGCACAGAGCTTATCAGACGATGCACCAAAAAATTGATGACATTTACTGACCGCATCCAGTTGCCTCTGGCTCACATGGAAGCGCTCGCGCGCAGAGCCGCTCGTTGCCTTGACCTCGAGGTGATACGTCGGCCACATGCCTGCCCAGGCGGTTCTAATCTTCTCTCCATACCATAAGCCCGTTAGGATGCCGCTGCTGTCCTTGTATCTGAAATCGGCCAGAGCATCCCCACTGAAAGGTGCCAGGTCGTGGACTTCGCCACGGAGCTCGCTAGTCCAATTCTCTTCATCGAAGTCAAGACCAATTAGTTCGCGGAGAAGCTCGTACACCTTTGGGATCCAGCACAATCAGAAATTCTGTGTACGGCAGAACAGTGGGATTATCTCACATAGAGTTCACCTAGAATTCCATTGACGCGATCACTTGCGGTTGACGGTGCAACAGCGGTGACTGCCCTTGCCGACGATTCCTTCCCGGGAGATGATGCGAGTTTTCCTGGACTGACGGGAGCACTCATAAATCGCGCGATCTCCCTCGCCGTTTGAACAGGGCGAGGAGACGAGCCTGGAGTGCGGACTTCGCCTTGCGTGAATTTCGACGAGGAAGATAGCTTCATTCGCAAATCCCGGATATTCTCTTCGAGATCATCAAGTTTATCACGCTTTCTCTTCACAGGATTGCGAGCATGTGGCGGTACATAAGCAAGAGTTGGCGGAGGCTCCATCTGTAAATCTGTTTCTTCGGGTTTTGCGACACGTCGGGGGGAAGTTAGGGGTTGATCGTTGGTCATGGTGTCGGTAGTAAGCCAGGAAGTTTTGCGTATGCGTTCTGCCTCCGGCGGAATGGCAAATACTCCCTGTTCATCTAATAGCTCCTCCAGTTCGTCCACCGGCGTTTCAAACAAACGTTGCAGTCTCATCCCATCCAAGTCGAGACGTTCTGCGAGACGGCTGCATACCTGGCGATCGCGTTTCCTTTCGTTGTTGGCGGAGGCTTGTGCCACGAATATAGACACACGATCGTCATCCTCTTGGATTGAGGAAGTAGCGTTGGTTTGGACAACGTGCTCTTCCAGAGTCAAACTTGACGAGATCGATCCCACGATCTCGATTGTTAGATTGTCCATCTTTCGCAAAAACTCCATCTGATCGGTCGGAATCCTCGAAGACCGTTTGTGGTACAATTCCCTGTCACGAATGAATGTTAAGCAGGGTCCCGTAAAACGGCGGAGGGCGCACCTCTCGAGATACTCAAGTCTGCGTATGTATTGCTGCGTAACCGGCATGTCCACCTTCCGCGTTCCATGGGCAACTGTTTGTGCGGAAATACATCTCTCAAGGTACCGAGCCGGTTGTTTCCACGTGTGGCAGTTAAATAACGGTTGTATGCTAACAACCGACAGCTTGGGAGAAACAGCCAATAGCGGAACTTTATCTTCAAACTGCTCTGCGTATTTGCCAGCCTGATCGGGCACGTAGAACTCATGGATGCGCTGAAGAACACGCTTTGAACTCTTTCCAGGCTGACATACCGGAAAGATTGGCAGCTCTGCAATCTCAGAGAGAATGGAAGCAACATATGGATCTTGGACCAAACAATCGGTGATATCAAGAAGTTTGTCCTCGACGTTTGTGGCCACAGCTTCAGTCAGGATCTTGTTATTCCACTTCACCGCTAAGGACTTGAACTCATCGACGAGAACCTGTAAGGGCGCATGTCGCATGCACAGCTTTGAATGGAAGAAGTCTTCTAACAGGGGATAGGAATGCTTCAGTACGACTTTGGAGGTCATAGATGGAGGCCCGTCCCAGTAGGCGTCTCGAAATGCGATCCATGAACCCCGACCGTCGGTGTTCACTGAAGGAACATATATGAGAGGATTATCCTGAAAAGCGACGCTTCACCGTGTGACATGAGCATACAGTGTGGCAACGAACCATCTTATAGAGCTTACCGAATGGCGTTTGAATCTTCGTCAAATCTTGCATTCAGTTGTTTGTACAGCTCCACTATCAAAGACAAGTCGTTGCATGCCGTGCGTTGCAACTGAAGGATAAGCTTGATGAACGTCGAGAGGTTCGCTTCGATCATGACGCCAAGTTCAGCAAGGAAGTTCCACGCCCCACTGTTTGCATTCGAGATTGGCAAGAAGTGTAGGTAGCTGCTCGGCATGCGCTGTAGGGCACTTCGCTTCAACGCAGTAGTGCCGAGCAAATGCCTGCCATCTTCACACTTTACCTCTGTTTGAGACAATTGTGTTTTGCCTTCTTGCGAGATGCCCCGAGACAGTTGAGGCCAATACTCTCGAAGAACCAAGAGGAATTTCAAAGTCTCCATTGATCGCGCCATGGTCTGAAACTCTGGGGATAGCTTCCCGGAGATGAGTCGAGGAGCGACGTTTATCCCGAGACTGTCCTGAAGCCAAAGTATCCAATAGCGGTCGTGATAGGTCTCCGTATAAGCTGGATGGAGGAACCGAGCGGTGCGAGGGAGGATGGTACGCAGAGGGGTTCTCTCTGTACCCTTGCTATCCGGCACGTCTAGATAAAGCTCTTTACCGCTAGCCCGTAGACCTTGTTCATCCACGACCTGCAGGTCTGCAGGAGAAGGGAGATCGCGCAACCTCCGATGCTCATAGAAGAATCGGGCATATCGGACAAGAGTCTCTGCGGACACTTGGCTCCGTATCTGCAATATCTGTTCGGCGATGAGGGCGGGTTCTGCACGCTTGACTCCCAATGCAGCGTAGAATCGATGCCTAAACGAGCCCTCCTCGATTCCCTCCTTGATGCTTGACAGCCTCAGCTCAGCGAAGCCGTCTAGATTGGCCACGAAAACATGCCGATGGGCAGTTTTAGCGGCAGCCCAAGAACCGTCACTGAGAGGCAGAATCTCAAGATCCAGTATCTCAGGTCTAAATTTACCCTTCCTTGTCTTTGGGATCCTCCCATTCAGGCAGCGACAAACAGTCTCTTGCCAACGATCAGATTGGCTCCCGATAGCCGTGCCCATTCGCTTGAGGCCATTTAAGAAGTCCTGGTCTGACATTGTGCGCACGCCCAACGTGGAGAAAAACGCGCTGTCGCCATGCACGTCGTACGAATCAGAGAGATAGCGGAGGCCTTTCGGCAGGTACTGTGAGGGAATGAGAGGCTCATTTTCGTCATCGCGGAATTGGCGAGGAGGGATGAGGAGTGACACGGGCTGGCTCAATGTGCCATCACTAGCACGTAAAACATTGCGGTGCTTGAGCAGAGTAATGATCCTGTCGGCGACTTTGCAGAACGGGTCCTTGATTTGCATCGGTATGAAGCGAATCCATACATCCTTTAGGATAGGATGCTCTTGAAATCGCTGCACGGCATCCACGAATGCATCACTGATGCCGACGAATAGTTGCTGGTTCCATTTCGAGTCGGCAAGTATAGACTCGCGGCTCGATGTAGTGAGGAAGTCTGCTTGTATCACGAACTGGTATCATACTGTAAGTGCGGATAGAGGAGGTGTGGCTGATGGAACATACGGTGAATCCATACCGGCTCATAGGAAGGAAAGCGTGAATGTACTGATCCTCAAACAGCGGCTCTTGCTCAGCGGTCATCGGAAATGCCAGTACAACTTCACTGCGCTCAATGCCTTCTCTCTTCGGCTCTTCCGGGTCCGTTACAGTGGTCCGCTTCACGATAATATACCTGCGCTTCAGAATACTCGCGCCATCCTCCGAGCGCTCTAACTCGACGACATCGGGTGCTGGGTCATTGCGGGAGATCTTAATGGACCTCGCAGGATTATTCCGGTTGGCAGCGACATGCAAATCTACTGAACGCAGCTTGCGGAGGAAGAGCAACAGGGAAGGCTGAAGCTCGCGCAGCTGCTTGTTCAGGTTTCCCATATGTTCCTCCTCTGCGATGTCCAAACGAAATGTCGTCCAATTTGGCTCCACAGCATGTGAGTTGTCCCAAATGGGGTTAATCATACCAAGTGGTCCATCGCGATCGAACCTGAATGTGTAAAGGTTGGACGCCACGTGGACCTTCGTGGCAACAACAAAGACGGCCTTGAATCCTGTTGGGGCCATCAGAAATAGAACGGGTGCCAACGAATGTATTCAGACCTATTCCTTTTTCACCTAAAAATGACGCGATGAATACGTTGTCCAGACGCCCATAGTTAGCGGTGACTTACCAATGTAGCCCTGAACGATCTTGTCCTTTGTCTTCGTACTGCCACCAATATCACAGATAGCTTTGACGTTCGCAGGACCGAATCCCAGTTCATTGCATCTGATTGTCATGCGCCTACGCTCGAGTTGAAGCTGCAGCGTAGGTATAACGCCGGAGTCGTAATTGTTGTCATCAGCGTTCTGGATGAACTCTAGTAGGAAGTGGGTTTTGGTGTTATATAGATCCCGCGACAAGCTGCAGAGATTTGTGAGATTCAGGACTGATTACGATGAACATCGCTGACCGGTCACAGGCGCGTTCCAATTTACCCCGTAGAGTAACGATCGGGTCGTCTGCGGGACGATCACCCATCGTTTCGAGGCCGTGACTTCGGTTGATACTCTTGATGAGGTCCATGGCGGTGGAGTGTTGATAAGAGAGGAGATTCCACAGTGTCCTTTCGCCTTTGCGCAGGTTGAAGACGCATGTCCTGGCACGTTGTCTGAACTGTAAACAGGCATCAAAGCTTAAAATTTGCGGGAACTTAACCTTGAGGGAAAAGGGTATCAACCTACCAGCCTTAGCAAGATTCCGTTAACATTGCCCTTCATGCCTCCGAGCAACTGCGTACTAGGGGCTCGGGTATAGAGGTGAAGAGCCATGGGATGCAAGTAAGTACCTGACGGCACCGCTATTCGACATGAAATACATGAGGAAGCAATTTATTACCGCCGAAAAAAGACATAGATCAAGAAGCAAGCCACGAGCCGACTCGTTGTACGAGAAACCTTATGCGCTTTTACGCGATAAGGCACGTTGTTGAACGGTACGAGGGTAAGGGTATATTTCAGAATTCCTGAGCCAGAATCGCTTGCAAGCAATATTGCATCCGAAAGGGATACCTGTCTGTAGATATCCATTGACTGTGAAAATGAGTCCAGCATTGTCAGCTCTGACCAGAGAATCCGGATATTGGGATGTGGCGGAGGCGAACCAAGTTGACCATTCTCGGGCATTGCCGGCGGAGTTAGGATCCCAGACATTCACGGTGCTTACCAATTGCCCCGTTGACATTCAGTTGTCATCTGCCTACGTTGCTCTATCGTATGTTGCTCGTCGTCTACCCCGTACGCCCGCAGATTTCAATCAGCTGACTACTTTTGCAAATTGACACTTGACGTCCGCTATCATGTAATGTCCAGTAGACTGCGGCAAGCGCCCGGGCGCGCTTGTGGCGCCGTGTCCAGTTGTGACATTGCGTGACATTTAGTGACCAGGCGTGCAAGTTGTAAGGGTGACGTCGAGCGACGTTGTGGAGGACATGCAGCTTTTCAGCCGCCAGCTCCAAGCTTTGACCATGCCGTTCTGCGCGAGTCCACACGTTCTGCCTGCATTGTTATCGACCTCTACGGCATAGCCCCCTCTCGCGATGTCCGGATGGTCAGATCTCAGAGCACAACCCTTCTCCGGATCCCTCCCAGCTGCCAGACTCGTTTCTCCAATATTACCTGAAGTTGAAGGTAAAAGGAACGCTGAATGCAGATGGACTCGACTCCATCTCTCAATTCCGGCGAGCGGCCCGCTATATCGCAGCGGGTGAGCCTGCAACGCCAGCTGAAGGAGCGAGTAATGCTGAAGCACGCACACAGCAATGATATTTTTCAAGGACAATGTCTTGTGCGAGCGGGACCTTGCTCCAGATGATATCAACCCGCGTGCCCTTGGACACTGGGGCACATGTCCGGGCCTTATCCTCGTCTACGCTCATCTAAACCGCATCATCCGCAGCACAAATATTGACGTGCTGTACGTCGTTGCACCCGGACATGGTGCGCCCGATATACTCTCCTGTCTCTGGCTCGAAGACGCCCTCGCGACCTTGTGGTCTAGCAACACACGAGACAGGGCTGGTCTCTAAAAATCGTCACGGGATCCAGCGTTCCAGGAGGCTTCCCCAGGTATGTAGTAACTCAAGAGTCAAGGTACGAGTGCTCACTCCATTTAGCCACATCAATATAGGAACACCTGGGTCAATCCATGATATATGTCGAACAGGGATGGAGCGGACCGAAGAGGCTCCACGGAGAGGTTATTGAGGGCTCTTTAACGAGGAAGGAAAGCCAAATGAGAAGACCTTGTCCATCATCCCCGAGGTGCGCATATATACACTTATGAGCATAGAGCAGTGTTGACGTCACATCCAGAATCATAAAAAAGATTATGGGGCGCAGAAAGGAAGCATATGCTGGATACTCACCACTGCATATGCCCGATTGGAGACTTTGTACCATTGATAAAGGAAAGGAAGAGAGTCGTATGAAAGCTGTTGGTCATTAATCTGCTCGAAGTCACAGACCGGTATGTGCTCATCTCTGTACTCATTCATGATCACGTTGTAGACCTCGGCATAGGAACCCTCACTCCTTCCTTCCGTATCTCTCTCCCGATGAGGTCGTCTCGAACAAGCTCGACGCCGTCCTCGGCCACAGTGGCCGAAACGTGCAGTGGGACGTCGCCCTCGTTTATAAACTGTCCGATAATCCCGAGCCAGTGACGGTGTAGACTACATTCCAAATAACAATGCCCAGGTTCCGCATTTGGCGCACCAAATCAATACTAAGGGCTTTCCGCTGAAGGATACTATCCTCCATGTTTTCGGATCTGTGCACAGCAAGCCCGACTCACATCGTGTATCTCGATCCTTTATCGTTGCATTTATGAGGGCACGCTGGCGATCCGCACTGATAACTTTGTCTTTCTGCTGTGACAAACTGTTCGTGGCTCGGGCAAGTCTTGCATTTCATAGATCAGAAGAGTATGCTGACAGGACCCATGTAGAGGAACTGTGGCACACTAACAGATCGCAGTGACGCCTCTCTAAGGAGAATTTGAAGCAAATCGAAGGCAGACTTTCCAGCCAGATTCTGCGGACGTTTTGGGGCATACGACTCACGTCTTCATGACCCAATACTACAACTCACTCATCCGACCGATATTGTGAGGTTCTATGCATGACGTTCGTACAGTGGCGCGCCGATGACATTCTAATTCTTGCTTACAATGTACAATATGCTGGTGAGACGTAAATACCAACGGATCCCTATCCCATCGAATACAATAAGTAGATTACGCGGCGTCAGATCGTCAATGCTCGTGAGCCCAGCCATTCACACGCCTTGTCTAATTGCACGTCACCTCAGCTCATGATCTCGACAATGACGTTGGCCATCATCAAGCCGGTATATGCCACGATGAGGACGACGCCCCAGCTCCGCGGAAGGAAGTAGCCGTTCCACGGCACGAAAATCAGCGTGGCAAGGAGAAGCACGAGCAGCCCGCTGCCCGTGATGATGAGCGTCGTGGAGAAGTGCAGAGGGTACGGCTCGGCAGTCTGCCGGATGATGTAGGAGCCCGAGATGCCAACGCCGAGGAGGATGTTCAGCATCGGCCCGCCGTAACATGCTGAGAAGCCCATGATCGGGGCGAATACCTGGAAGACAGCATAAGCAAACGAGAGTGATGCGCTGGCATCGTACGTACTGCTACACTCATGTTTGCAACTAAATCAGCCAGAGAATTCCCAACAGCGAATATTGTAAGCCCAATGATAGCGTCAGACAAGCCAAATATGAAACCGAACGTCTGAGAATTGTCGGATCAGTGATGAGACTATGCAATTAACGAAGACCACTCAACCTGTAGAACCTCTACAACCTCATCTGCAATCGCCATAATCCAAACAACAGCAACCATGAAGCCCATGGTACAGCGCGTCAGCTGCGCACCGGCGTGCGTACCTCGATCCGAGAAAACTGCAACGATGATCCCCACAGCGAAGCCCGCCACGCCCGTCGCCAGCAGCAGCCACGGTTCATGCTTCGTCCCGTCTAATCGTCCATCAAGGTCAGTGAATTATCTCACGCCGTTCTCCAGGTAGGCAGCACTCACCGAACAAAATAGCAACACAAAAGAGCGGCCCAAGGGTGCACTGCACTGCCATCAGCCACTTGTTATATTGCAGCTCATGCATCTCCTCTGCTACCTCGTCCTCCGCGATCAGCGTGCGTTCTATGCCTTCCTCCTCGAAGTCGACCAACCGGCTCTCACCCCCGCCTGCGACGCCGCGCAGCTTCTCGCGCTCGCGCCCAACATCCTCGTATGCCGTCACCACCACGGGCAGCGTCAGTGTCAGTGCCATCACCGCGGGCGCTGCAAGCACCGCTGCGACCTTGCCCAGGAGTGGTTTGCTCCCGATCCCATGCAGCGTAGGGAACACGACATGGAACGCGTGCCCGAGGACGCGTGCTATCCGCTGCCGCCGTGTCGGTGAAACGTACTGATGCGACTGTGAGTCTGTCTCCGTCTCCGTCTCGGCCTCCGATACTATGGGAGATGCTGGCGTGCGCGATATTATCGGGAGCGCCACTGGCTGAGGCGAATGCGAGCGCGAACGCTCAAGCTGATGCGAAAAGGATTGCGGTGATCGATCGCTCAGCGGTACGCCCAGCGCGGCATCCCACGGATTCTGTTCGTTGTCTGACGGTGGTGTATGCGAGCGCGAGCGTGTATGATGATGTTGGTGATAATGCCCTCCAGGGTACGGCGACAGCGGACTTTCGAACATGCTGAGCGAGGACCCGGCCGCCTCCTGCTGTAGCGACGCCACGATCCGTCTGAACTCGAGAGCACCCACGAGGGAGAACGACGGCAGAGTGCTGACATGTGAGGAATGAGGGGATGGAGAACGCGTTTGAGGACGGGGAGGGAGGTCGGTTTGCAACCCGAGCCGAGGAAGCACGGGATTTGAGCGGGCACGCGACCTCGAAAAGTGGTAGGTCGGTACCTGCAGCATTGACGAGGCTCCTGGCGGAGGTAGTGCTACGGGAGCCTGAGCTTGAGGGCTACCGTTCGAAACGACAGGGAAGGCCCACTCACGCGCATCCCGATATGGTTCCTCGTCGTGATAAGGTGTGTGCACAAGCACCTCCTCTCGGAACTCATCACGGACAAGCTCTTCATACATCCTCTGCCGCTCCCTTCGCTTCTCCCACATGCTTCCAACAACAACGACCGTCACGTACATGATGTATAGAGCGATGAGCGACACTGCCTCCCAGCCCTCGATCTGGCTGTCCCAGAGCACGCCGAGGAGCATGGTAACTGCAATGGTGAAGAAGCCGACGTCACGAAAGAATCTGTAGCGGGAGACGCGGAATGGCTTGATGATACAAAGCGAGCCAACGACACACGAGACCACAAACGTTGCAGCGCCTAAGAGCTCGCCGAGCGCGAGCCCACCCGAGTGCGCTTTCATAGCAGAGAATGTTGAGAATACGTCCGGACTGCCATTTCCAAAGGCAAGGAAAGTCACACCAGCCATGTTCTCGTCGAGTCCGAGCAGGTTCGCGAGTGTCGCAAGATTCGGGCAGAAGAAGTCGGATGCGCTGATCCCGAGTGTGGAGAAGAGGAAGATCAGCCAAAGCAAGAATGAGGTGAAAAGCAGAGGTCGGAGCGAAACTTCGGCGCAGAAATAAGTGCGCAGATAGGGAATGGATAGGAATGTGCGGGTGTCCGGGCACGATTCGCAAACGTGAGTACACTGGCGCTCTACGGGGAAAGAGATCGGAAAGCATTGCTGTTTGCTGCATCAGCGTGCCTCCCCATTGCTTGTGACGGAGCACTGACCTCGCTGTCAAACGCCAACGGCGTCCGCGACGAAGCATTTGTGTACCTTAGTTCCAGCACGTCTCGCTTCATATGTAGCACGGAACGTGAGCTGCTCGAGTAGACTTGCCCATACCGACTGCGCGACCAGAGAACACAGTTGGCGACAAGAACGATAACGAAAGCTAACTTGGGAAGACCTGACCACATGTTGGTCATGGAAAGAAGAGGAGCGCATGCAGCTGCAGCACAAAACTCGCAGGCTACATGCAGCAGCGGAAATGACACTCGGGCACGTGGGCAGTAAGGACCGTGACGTCGAGGTCACGACGATCATCACGAAGAGTCACGTGTGACAGTACGCGACGCGTCGCGTCGCAGCGCGAGACAGCGCATGAAGTTGGGTCCCATATACACCATTTGTGATGTCTTGCAGGACAATAGAATGCGATCCGTAGAAAATATCGCGCGGGTTTTCTTTGGAGTGTAAGACCGAACGCATGTCAGTGATGCGTGCGGTTCACATTCTGCCATCGGTGTGATCGAATAGTCTTTTGGACCATGAGGGAGGATCCGACGTAGATGCGGACCACGTACAAGCCACAAGGATCACCAAAAGAGAGCAAGAGGATGGAGCAGGACGGTCACTGGGGCAGATGACAATCTGAGGGAGATGCTCGGGGAAAAGCTGGTGGCGATTCGGAACGATCAGCAAGTCACACCGTGACAGACGTGTGTCTCTGAGGAACATGTGATAACGACATTCACCCGCCCATGGTGGACTGCCTCGTCCAACTGACCACCCACCAACTGCAGCAACCCGTCTGCTGTTCTGCAGCCTCACGCTGACTCGTGTTCGCCTCACCTAGAACAGGCGGCAAGACAGTCCTTCACTGATCTCTTCCACATCATGTCGCTTTCGAACCACACGCTGAGACAGCTCAAGTTCATCGTCCCAGGAGGACTGGCTACTTTCTATTATGTCGGTAACCATCTCAGGTTCTGGCAGGTTGTCACTGGACAAGTCTCCGTAGACGGTTGGGGGAGGTGCGCTCAGTTCGAAAAACAAGGCGTGTTGGTCTCATATGCATTAACAGACTCGCTACGATAGCATGCCTGGCTAATGGACTGCTCACAATCTCCTTGTTCATGTACATTATGTCTCTGCCATTACTCAGGGGAGAACAGCCCGATGTATGTTCTTCCGTCCAATATATTCTGTGAAGAGTTCATTTACGTGCATCGGATAGTACCGTCGCTGGAGAGAGTCCGGCGTGCTATCTACTGTTATACCGGTATTTCTTCCGCTTCTTCATATTGTAGCGATCCCTGAAGCCCTCGCTTGCACAGATATTGACTTTCTCCATTATCACCGGATGGCCATTACTTTCCTATACTCTAGGCCGTTGGACAGGCCTCGGTCTCATCGAAGGCGTGATAGCAGGTGCGGTTGTGCTTCACTGCCATTTCTTCATCTTGCTCAACCTTTCCTCTCCATTACAATTCACAGCCTCCAGCCTATATGCTCTTACTTTCGGCCTCCTGGGCCTCATACCCGCTCCCAGAGTTTCGCGAAGATAATCTCCAATATAGAATACATGTCGTGAAATATCTATTTTCTTGCAGACGGTCCATCTTCACTTCCTTTTTCTTGTCCTCTCGTCGCAGTCGTGTGATTGCGTTGCACTCCACATAATAGCATATCGTAATTCTCACCTGGTTCCCATTCATCATTGAATATATCTTACAATCGCAATGTACAAGAATCTCCATTATGCTCTGTATCATCGTCACAATATATCCTGCACCAGCCCCCTCGCATCGGCAACTCCGCATGGTCGCTCTCTCTCCCCACAGAGGAATATCGCACCGGCGCGGCGTTCCACATGATCGGCGTGTCCGTCTGCTCGAATGTAAAGGTCGAGAGGAGAATTAATAGCAGGACCTCTGCGGATAGTCATTTGTGAGTAATGGTAAAGATGGGCATTTGAACTGGTTAACCTGACTCATTTCTAGTTCAACGAACTTGAACCCACTGGGAGAGCGAGAGGGCCTTAATCAGATGAACGCCTCCCGCACCGTCTGATCCCACCGCCGCAAACTTTCATCCAATCGATGATAGTTTTGTGAGTGGCTAGTCGATTGAGCTATCATCTGGTCCTCTGGCAACCTGTCGGTCTCAGACACCTGCATATTCGCCCTCACTTCACCAACCATCAGCGCGTTCCCATAAAACATCTGCAAAGTACGCACGGCACACACTCATGATATTCTTCCGGGCCCAGATCGAAGACGTAGGGCACCAACTCGCGCAGCAGGCGGATTCGATCGTGAGAGGATCTGTTAGAGAGTAGCCAAGTCCTCCTTGTGCGATGAGCTCCAGCGCACAGGGCCTTAACCACTCAAGGACGTCGGGCTCACATGGCCCGTATTAAACACGAGAGGCGAGCGCGTGGCGGAGCTGCCATTTTGCTACCATCAGCGTGACTGGGCGCATCGCATTGGCGAATTACCTTGTACGTGACATAGTAGAATGTAGGCATCATCTTGCGCATGTGCGCCACAGAAAACACGGGGTTCAGCATCTTCCGCTGCCACCGTTGACATTGGCCTACGAAGCCACAGTAGGGTCAAGTATGCATGCCCCAAGAATGACGATCATATCCAGAATTGAAATGAGCCCTGGCCCGAAAATAAGGAGGTTGGTTCTGACATCCACTTAATCGAGTAGAGTGCCTTCGGGTCGTAGACATAGAGCGGCGATTGCTTCGAGCGTGATCTGGCGTGTCAGTGCACTCTGCTCCGTGAGTATGGATGCTACTCCACACGGCGAATAGGACTTGCATATCTTGACAACAGGCCGAGAACCTTGAGCCATGCTTCATTGAAATGCCGAGCGGTGGCGGCTCAAGAATTTGGTAAGGTTTTCTGCGAATTGCTCTTAGTATTCTGAACAAGCATATTACCAAAGCGCGGAGTCTCACCCGTCCATAATGACTGCCGAGGAGGGCCTGGGATGTTATCCAGAGGACTCTTCGATCTCAGCTTGCCCTTAGAACATCGATACGCAGTGATGGGGCTAGTAGTGAAGATGAAACTGTTCTGATAGACGAACATCGGTGTACCATGAAGAATACAAACAGAGAGTAACCTGGATAGCATTTGCAATCGTATTCTAAATTTCTCTGACGGTATGTGATTATTAGAGTTGGAAATTCACATCTCTGCACCATCAATTCAGCCATGCAGCCCTGATAATTCTAACATGTTTCGCCTTCCAATCGCTGCACTATCAGTGGAAGTTCCACATAGTTGCTGTCCTTGCCCACGGTGGGATAGATCGCACTCGCAACATTCCAGAAGATGTGCTTTTGAGATGGCGCAAACGAGAACCTCGTCAAGAGAACCGCCAACGAAGCCTCTGATAACTTAATTAGTCAGCGCCATGCATGTATTATGATGGCAGTTTCAACCCGACGTACTGATCTGTACTTCGGCATACTTGAACCCACTATGAGGCTCATGAGTGTAAGTTCTAGGTTATTGCGAAATGCAACACTCACATGCAGGACCTTGGTCTACCAGCGAATGTCATTCTAACAGGACGTGATCATGGGTCGATGGTGCTTCACTGAAACGAGCTCAAACATACAAATTCGCATACATTCCAGGGATGCTGATATCTTCATCAGACATGGTCGAGGACTCTCTTGACAACCAGCGTTCGGGCTTGAACTCCAGGGAGTCATCCCCCCACACGTCCTTGTTCGTATTGGATCCGAGCACGCCGATGATAATCTTCGTTCCTTTTGCAATAGGCAATTCACGTAAAAGTGTTCCATCGATCCCGCGAACAGGCTTTGAAAGGGGAAGGACAGTGTCCGCCAAGGCACTAGTGAAGGATAACAATTCAACACGGAATAATGTGGCAAAGGGTTGCACGTACTCCCGCATGGCGAGTGGGGCAATCGGGTCACTATCGGTACCATGAGACGTGTCGTAGTATCATGAGATCTACATCGCACATACAGTCGCAAGTGTTCCCGGTACACGCCGTTGAGAAGGGGTAATTGCATAAGCGTATCATATGGCAAGTCTTCACCGTTACTGGCCTCGAGAATTTCGCTACGAAGCTTCTCCTGCAAGTCTTTCCTGTGAGCGAGGTACTCCAATACCGTTCCTGTCGTGTTGGACGTAGTCTCCATCCCTGCAATCACCAGCGCACTGAGACGGACTCAGGTCAGTCAGTCAGTCGGCCAGTCTGAACACGTTGCACAAGATACCTACATGATCTGTGCGATTTCCTCCTCCTCGGGCACCTTGTAGTCCTCTGATTCCTCCAAGTGAGCCTTCACTAAGACAGCGATATATGAGCTCTTGCCAGCCGTTTACAAACTGGACGTACTCAATGTGTCAATGATGCTCTGGTGGTCATGGTCGCTGCTTGAAGCGTTTGTGACTTCGCCCTGCAGCCTTGATTTATTCGCGTTGAAGATCTCCTCCGCCATGCTGTCCAATGTGTCCATGATATGAAGCATGTTCCTCATCGGTCGATATGGAAGCATATCCAGGACCTTTCGCCATACGGCTGGAGGTGCTAAGGGAGTAAATATCGGCAGCAAGTATTGTAGCCAGCTGAGCTCCGTCATTGCCGCTCTATCACCAATAGATAGTGAGCATTGATAAGAACGCAGTATCAGAGCTGGCCGAGTAACTGACAATAGAGTTTTCACAGCGGTTGCATATTTGTTGGGTCTTTCTTCGAGAAGCATGTCTAATGAATGGGCCATACCACCCTTGCCTATCATCTGAAGGGAGGCACGTCCAAGCCAGTGCAGCATATCAGCCTCCTGGGGTTTCGCACTGATGCGAGAGCCGACTGCATCACAAAGCTGTCAAATATTCAATTCATCAGCAGTGAATATGCGCGATGAAATATAGAACCGCGCCATGTCCGGATGTGGACGAACCTTGTGCATAGTCTCATAAATTGCCGGCAGCATCGTATGCAAGCGGTTCGTCGAGAACGCCGGATTCAGCAGCTTGCGCTGTCTACGGTGTTGCTCTCCTGTCGGTGATCCATGAGAATTATGGAATAGACACCGTCCCTCCGTGTATTAACCTTGTGCACTTCCTAAGCTGGGGCCAATGATGAGCGCAAGTGCCCTGCCCGACATTGAGCAAGTAGTATGAAACATGCCTCGTGAAGGCTCGCCTGAGAATGCCATCCCACTGGTCGTATAGAGCCTGGTCCTTCACAAACATGGCCTGCAGTGCGAGTGGATCGGCTACATACAATGCCGAGCTCTGATGTGGAGTTCATCTTGTAAGTCCTTACAAAGGGAAGTTACAATACGTACGCCAAAAGGGCCGCTGAGTCGCACGACGGGACTGTAGTTTAGTGCAACATCCCTCTAAAAATTCAAACCGTAGCGATTGAAGTATTGACCCAGATTCCTGAGGGAAGTATGGGATGATCTGTGCCTGCTTAGATATCAACGTCAACAGCGCACCGGTCAGAAACGACTTCGAAGGAGGACCAGGAACATTGCGCAGCGGATCCTTGCTAAACAACCAGCGGATCAGCCTCCATGATAACCATGTCGCAGCCAGAAGCAATAGACTATGTAGGAGGGAGGGCATGTCGATATTCACTGAGCGCAAAGGACACTCACCCGTTTCGCTGGCATATTGCACAGCATATATATCCTGGCCGCAATCGGGTATCTAAAACGACTCGTCCCGTTGCTTAGCATATGGGCAGACGTAAGCCACCATTCATCGACGCACGATCTCGGGGCGATATCATAGCTGACCGCTGAACGGCCAAGCGTATCCACTGAGAAAAAAGAAACCGCGGACTATCTGCATCATTGCGTTCGCTTCTAAATGGCAATAAGAAGATCTTCGATGCTGCTTATTCATGATTGAATAGAACGTTAACTGCCAATCACTGCCAGAATGCATTTTCCAGGACACATTCCTTCGCCATCTCAAGCTAGAAATAGTTTCATCAGGACTCAGTCTTCCACGAGCCTATACAAGGAAGATCGTCTTCACTCACCTGCTCCTCCGTCCTACACAGCAAAACCTTATTAGTATCCTTCTTTCTTCCCATCTCCACCACCACCACAGCGTTCCTGTCCCTGACGTTATCATTCGCATGTCTGTAAGCTTGAATCCCAAGCACGCCGCATTCCGCGCTACCTCCTCTCTCAACTCCGCACTCTTCTCCCTGATCCCACCCGAGAACACCAGTGCATCCACTTCCCCCCCAAGCCTGACGAAGTACGCCCCTACCGAAACGGTGATCCGATCCGTAAACAGGTCGAACGCTAGTTTCCACTTCGCATCGTCCTCCCAGTCATCCAGCACATGTCCGTCGCCCTGTGCGCGTGCCTCCTTCATTCGTAGGACGACCTCGTCGAAGTCTGCTGTCTCCGTTAGAGCATGCCAGCCACTTTCGGTATTGAGGATGGACTCTGCTTCGGTAATGTGCACGTCAATTGCTGCGCTTGGATCGTGCGTGACACGCCCTGCGCGGTGGAACACGAGTGAAGCGTCAACTGCACCGCTGCGTGTCGCTCCAGTGAGAGGCGTAAGGCCCATGGTAGTGTCCACCAAGCACCCGTTTTGGATCGCGCAGGCAGATGCTCCAGAACCGAGGTGCGTAATTATCAGATTGAGAGACGATGCGGGCCGTTAACAGTGGCATGAGTTGCCCGTGTGCACGTACAGCAGGGAATATGTACCTTCTGTGGACTGATTCCAAAATGTATGCATCTAGCATAAGAGTGATGTTCAATAAACGTGACGCAGGTGGCTAGCAAATGACTTACAAGTCCGTGAAAGCCACATTTCTTAAGCCCTCGCTTCCGAGCAACCTCCGGCTTCATCGCATAACTCGCAATACGGAGGGGATGGACCGATGAAAAGATGTGTCGAAATATGCAATAGACTTCGACCTCGGCAACGCCTTGATGCAGATCTGCATGACGGGAAGTGCTGCCCCGTTGTGACTAATGGAAGTGTAAGCCTCATGATACCTTAAAAGCTACATTTTCACTTACGGAGGTGCGAGATCAGTGAGCCTCTCAGTATGACCTCGTTGATAACGACTGGGTCGAAATAGTCTACGCCATGCACTATGCGATGGCATGCATATACAATGGAATTATGCTCAATCTCTGAGTCCGCCTCATTCTCGAGATAATGAGCGAACGGGGCAGCGTGATCACCGATCCCGTCAATCTTCTCTTTCTTCGCCTCACGCCCTTCTTGGTGGGAAGCATGTTCGAAGGTGAAAGATGTTGGTAAGGAGGGTATATTGGTGATACTGGAAGTGAGAAGAAGTATTGACAACTGCGTGCTACAAACCTTTGAAATAAGCGCCAGAACGGCATCGCTACCATCAGAATGAGCAGAGCCTCGGCCAACGACCCAACGCGACAGCCATGGTGAATGCTTTGGATTCAGGACGTGTTGGACGACCTGGCGAATGGGGCGAGTTCGTTTGATCGGAAGGACATTTTATTTACGGGCGCTCGGAATGCTCTGAGAAGATTAGACAACCACTCCGAGGTACGTCAGGACTTGCTTCGCGCTCCTGATCAGTGTCGCAATCATACGAGCCAAGTAGATAGGCTAATATTTTCGCAGCAGCGTCAGCGCATTAATATCGGATGAGAAGACTACGACACTTCTTCTTTCCTGTGAATCGCGAGCATTACCGGGCCAAAGCCAGGGTGAACGACAACTCGAGCCTCGTTCTTGACGAGAAGAAGAATCCGCACCTCAGGGTCTCTGCAGGACACAAAAGGAAGCATCGGCATGCTAAGAACGTCGATCAAGCGAGGCAGCCATGGGACATTCAACTGCTCAGGCGCTAACCAGTGCAGTCTTGCATACTACGGCCAAATCGGTCTCAGCAAATTTCAACCATTTATTCATACATGCACACTGCACGAAAGTTAAGTCCATTGTGTTCTGCGCCAAAGCTGCTCTCACCTTATCCTACACGCCTCAACTGCACGCCATCGCTCCTTGCGCACCATGAACCTCAGCCGCTAGATAGACGCAACTCAATTGCGAAATCTTCCGAGTGAGGGAGCTGTGACGGCGTTCTTCCAAGCTCATTCAAGATTCGCCGCAGAACCCCGTCGTCGTCCGCTGCCTTTATTAGACACCCCCCTTTCAGCAGACCTCAAACGGCGAATGCAAGTTCGCACTCACCACGGCATCGTAGTGCTGCTGTAGCAATCGCTGGTTGTTGTACAATTCGTTCACTGTTATCTTATAACGATATCGCCCTCCGGAGCGCTTGACTGACAGAAAGCATCAACATGGGCGCTACGCATGTGTATGAGATCGACAGACCTGTGCGGAGTCGAAATCATCGACGTCACACAGCTTGTACAAGAACGCATCTGTGCGTTTCTGGTTATTGTCGACAAATGGCTTCGGCTTTGCCATGTACCAGTCGTTTTCGTACGATGGCTCCGCCGCTAAGCTTGTCAACAGATTCGCAATCTGCAGGAGGTCGTCAAAGCTTATCCGGCATGGTGAATATCGCGCTAACGTAAAGCGTCAAGGTCCGTTGGGGATGGCTTGGCGGTACGCCCTGAATCAGTTGGTATGCTTGCGCTGTGATAATTGCGGGAATTATGAAACGCGCAAAAAAAGAAACTGGCAAGCAGAGCAGCAATGGAACGATCGCTAGCGTCAGGATATTGCCGCTGGGCAGTTGTAGGTTGTTACGATCCACGTGGTGCTTCAGGAGATACTTTACTTAGTCGTGCGAAGAGCTTGATTTGCTTGCAAATCCATCGCAACCCGTAAGATACTTGGTCGATAGATTGGATGATACCGGACAGAAATCCCTCGGCGATGGAGGTCAGCATGGTCAAGCGTTGTGCAATAATGGCCTGCACGTTCGAATCCTCTGCCGCGACATCTGCCGATACCTCGTGCGGAATCCCAGCTTGAGAACCAGCATCGAGCTCAATCTGAGCGACCATCTGAGCGTATACCTTCACCGGATCAATTTCAACATTCAGCTGGTCATGTGCCACCAGGTGACTGATGCGCTCGGCGAGAACTCTCTTGAGGTAATCGTGCGGGGAAGCACGGCGGGAATAGACGGTCAGCGCGCGCGACACAGGGGTATTCGTGTGCAGGAACTCGGTGAGCTCTGTGGTGAATCCAATCCTCGACGCGAGCAGCGCTTGTATCATGGACAGGAGCAAAAGTTCATCTTCGCTGGCGTGATTGCTGACGTACAGAGAGAACATGACTGTCTGGAGAAATGAGTCGATGCTGCGCGATCCGACAACCTCGCAGAGGGTTGCTGTGAATTCGGGATCATGGCGTAAGACACCGAATAGCTTGGAGTACAAAACCAGTGTCTCCTTGTCAATGCTGTGTTCTGGGGCGGAACTTGACGTGGCCATCTTGAAAATGGAGAGAACTGGTTCGGGAGGGAGCTTGAGATGGCATCCTGAGGATGGTCCACGATTTTATGCCGCAGCTTTTGAATGATGATATATCTGATCTTGCACAGCCATCATGATGTTGTTGCTGCCATACCCACAAAGCAGCACCATCTTTGATGAAACGCGATCTCTTTACCAAAATGCTGTTGATGTAGAATGAGCTCTGCGCGGGAGTGCTCACGGCGGCGGCAGTTCGCCGCGCTAGCTGCGGTGGGAGCGGGAAGAGAGAAGGAGATGCATTTTTATACGCCTTTGCGATGCTTGGACACAGACACCGTCAGACCGCAGCATGGTCTGCGACAGAAAGCAACCCGCAGAGTGTGGCGTGCCGTAAGCTCGTCCCGGCCACATTCCGGCACTCCCGGCGGAAAAAGTAGTATTTTCTTATCACTGTCCGGGACTCCGGCCGGTATCGCTAAGGAAACAATAATACCTTGCCGGGACTCTATAGGAAATTGCCGAAAGGGAGTAAACACCGTCCGCGTCCGTGTCGCAGTTCTCTCAACTACTCATAATCCGAGGACCCTCTCTCCCGCCACTGTTCACGACATCGACCACGTTCATTCGTTCCAAGTAGGCTTGCATCGGCGACAACTGGTTTCCTCGCCTTGCCTCCCTTCTGCGCACACCTTCCGCGACCGCCACCAACACCATACCAGTTCCCCCGTTGATACCACACACAAACATGTCGTCCTATTCGGATCTTGCAACTTCACCCCAGTCTCCAAGCGGCATGTCTTCAAGACGGCTCACGAACAGGAATACGAACCGTTACAGCGTCACCGCGCTGTTTAGTATGGCCGCCGAGCAGGATGTCGAAGTAGAGGATGAGCTGGGCCGAGGTGGGTTCCGAGACTGGCATTTCCATGCCCGAGTATGCTTAAGCGTCGTATCTGTATGCGACTAGCACAAAAGCGGCTTAGGGAACTTAAAGCTCGTATCTCTTCCCAGTCAAAGCGTAACTTCGTGCTCGAACGCGATGTCCGCTTCCTCGACTCTCGGATCGGCCTGCTCATTCAGAATCGGATGGCGCTCGATGAGGTCCGTCCATCTCATGCTGTGTTATGCTGAGCCACGGATCAATACTATCTGACAGCAAAACGAAGTGGAGAAGCATCTAGAAGAAGTTGATGCAACTGAAGGGCATTATCCTGACGACCGCAAGCTCCAACAGTATTCCAACCTCTTCTTCCTCCTGCAGTCCGAGCCTCGACATATCGCAAACCTGTGTCGGCTCGTCAGTTTGACCGAGATTGATACCCTCCTACAGACGGTCATGTTCACGCTATACGGAAATCAGTACGAAAGCCGCGAAGAACATCTGCTATTGACCATGTTCCAGTCCGTCCTATCCTCCCAATTCGAAACCGCCACTGAGTTCGGCTCCCTTCTCCGCGCCAACACGCCCGTATCACGCATGATGACAACATATACTCGCCGCGGGCCTGGTCAGAGCTACCTCAAGAGCGTGCTTGCCGAGCGCATCAACAGTCTCATTGAGCACAAGGACCTCAACCTGGAGATCAACCCGGTCAAGGTATACGAACAGATGATTGCCCAGATTGAGGAGGAGACTGGTTCTCTTCCTTCAAATCTCCCTCGAGGGGTGCCACCGGAGACCGCGAGCGCGAACGCGGATGTGCAGACTATCATCGCTCCGCGCTTGACCATGCTCATGGAGATTGCGAATAGCTTCCTCGTTACCATCATCGACAGCATGGAGAGTGTTCCGTATGGGATCCGGTGGATCTGTAAGCAGATCAGGAGCCTCACACGAGTGGGTGGATTCTCCATCAGGATCGTCGTCTTCGAGCGCTGACATGGTAACTGCGTTGCTTCTTACTCAGAGGAAATACCCTGAAGCGACAGATTATGCTATATGCTCTCTGATTGGTGGTTTCTTCTTCCTTCGTTTCATCAACCCGGCTATAGTCACCCCTCAGGCGTACATGCTTGTGGAGGGCGTCCCAGCGAAGTTCCCGCGAAGAACACTGACTCTTGTAGGATTATCCGATTTCATATATGGGTAAATCTCTGATCATATGCTGCGTAGATCGCGAAGATGCTACAGAACCTCGCTAACAAGCCATCATATGCGAAGGAGGCGTATATGATAACTCTCAACCCGTTCGTGGAGAACAACAAGGCACGAATCAACCAGTTCCTCAACAACCTCTGTGAAGTCGGAGACTTCTATGACACACTTGAGGTACGGACCCATGTCCTTGTCAGAAGATTGACCGTTGCTCAACCGGCATTGGCATGTTAGATGGACCAATATATGGCTTTGTCGAAGAAGGACCTGGTAATCAACATCACACTTAACGAATTGTACAACACGCACTCCTTAATCCTCCAACACATTGAGGTCCTTGTACGTCTACTTTGCAGTTCATGCGAATTGCGGGTATTTGACCTGCCGTCTTCTAGGCGCCCCACGACAAGCAACATCTCCGCATACTCACCGATGACCTTGGTCAAGCACCGCCCCAGGTTCCTCGAAAGGAGAACCGCGCCATCGAGCTGCAGTTGTACAGCCGATGGGAGACACCTATTCAGGACATCCAGAGTGCGCTCATGGACTCTGTATCAACAACAGATATGCTCTACATGGAGACAAAGTCCAATCTCGTCCAGTTGATCCGGTCTCTCCCTCCGACAAATGACAAGAAGCCGCACAACCTCGCCGCGATCGCTGAGCGCGCAGCGACGACCAAGGACGCAACGCTCGTGCGGAAGGGCATCAAAGTGAAGGAGATGCTGCGCGAATTGGAGGAGTACAGGATCATCGACCGCGCGGACGGGTACAAGCTCATGCAGGAGGAGGTCGCGGCGGAGCTCGTGCACCTGGGCAACCTGCGCGAGAAGGTGGTGCTCGAGACCAAGTCGCTCGAGGCGGTGTACAAGACGATTTGCGACCACAACAACTATCTCCGCACGCAGCTCGAGCAGTACAAGGCATACCTGCAGAACGTCCGCCTCACTGCAACGAAGGATAAGGGCGCGACGACGGGCGTGGGCGTCGTCACCGTTGGAGGGAAGGAGAAGAAGCCGGCGAAACCTGTGGTTCATGGGCCCTATCGCTTCACGCACGCGCAGTTGGAAAAGGAGGGTATCATCGTCGAGAGCAATGTGCCCGACAACAGGTATGTTGGCTCTCACGTGCATTAGTGTCCTTTGTCTCATGCAGCTCCGACTCGCGACAGGCGACCCAACATCTACTTCAACTTCACCTCTCCTACGCCTGGTACTTTCATAATTGCGCTGCACTACAAGGGTCGTGAGAAGGCCATCCTGGAGATGGATCTCAACATAGATGACCTTCTGGAGAAGGTCGGTTTATCCCCTTCCCAGCTTGCGTTCAAAGCTAACATTCATTCCTGCTCATATCTAGCAAAAAGACAATAAGCACCTGCTAGACCTGGAATACGTGCAGCTCAACGTGCCGAAAGTGCTCGGCCTCCTGAACAAGATCTTCACGAAACGATGACTGCGGACGACGCACATCCCGGCGCACCCCCTTCGTTCCGCGCCGCGTCTCACGTCCCTCCATTATTGTTGTATTTATGACGACCCTTCACGCCTCGTGTACGCACCTAATTCGCCTCCTCCTCCGCCGTCCGCGCTGCCCGCCTCTCCTTATTCTCTCTATATTTCCTTCCGGTCTCTGAGTGGTCTCTCTGTTTGAGTACTCGTGTCTCCCTGTTTCTGCTCTTTATACCTCTTTTTATCGCATGCGCAATGCGGCTCGTGTATATCGCCTCACTCTTTATAGGATGTATTATCGGTACCCTCTGTATGCCCGTCGCTGAACCATAATTCTGTTGTTGCAATGGCAGCTAATCTAGACATCGTTCCGGTTCCGTACCTTGAGGAGCGATCGCCTGCAAGTAATATAATGAACTTTAGAATTGGACGTTGAACCTTGCTCCCAAACTCTCGTCCGCATCAATGTGTTCTGAACGCCTCTACAAGATCAGTACAACGGTTGCACAATACTAGTACAGGTATATATATATCTGCATTGGAAAACATATGAAATTGAATTGTCCTTATATTCAACCAGCGACCAAATGCAAACAACATGCCCGCCGCGTCTTCGCGTGCTGATGTGTGCTAAAAGGTCTGTGAGGGCCAATCGGGCAGACTGGTTAGCGCAGCATTGATAGCCTCGCGGACGCGTCGCTTAGATGCGAGGTCTCCGGATTGTCTGTACCCGCTGAAGACCTCTTGGAACTGGAAGGCTGATGCAGCTACTGAGTCTGGTGAGAGAAACACGGTTCAGTCAGAATAAATGGCGTGCCAGATTGCTGAGTGCTTACCATGATTCGACTCTGCCTCCTTTGCGAGCTGCAAAGTACGCTTATGAGCATACCAATAAAGCAGAATCAATCAGTCACGCGCTCACACTTTCTAGCCGAGCCATCTCCTGCGCCTGCCCACCATACATTCCACCATAGCCCCCGCCGCCAAAAAGCCCCGCACCTCCAAGAGACCGCCCACGCGCCTCCACCTCGCGCTTCCGTGCGCCCCATGCCTCCCTTAGCGCCTCAAAGCAATTCTGCGCCTGTCAAAAAGTCATCAGCCTCACAGCATCGGCATCTGCGGAGATAGACAGCACGTACCTGCTTCCATGCATACACATCCCAGCTGTCCAGCTCTACTTTGTGCTGCTGGACGTACTCCCGCGGATGGGGTGGCCGATAGCCGCCGGTCCCAGCGCTGGAATTCTGCTGCCCGAATGCCTGGCCGGCCTGCGCATAAGGGTCAAACTCGGCGAGGTACGGCGCGCCCTGCTGCTGCGGCTGTTGTTGCGGTTGGGGATAGTAGGCCGGCTGGTATCCAGTGTTCGCGCCGAATTGAGATGGATAGTCCGTGTATTGTTGCTGTGGCGGCTGCTGCTGCTGCTGCTGCTGCTGGGGCATGCCTGTGTATGCCCCCGGCCCGTTCACCTGCGCTGCGAGCTGCTGCCCGAATGAGCTCGAGGGCTGGAATCCCGGCCGACCCGTCATCTGCGGACTCTGCACAGCAGGAACACCGTAGCCCTGCTGGGGCTGTGTGTATCCTCCGCCTCCAGTCCACCCGGTCTGTTGTGGCTGCATCTGGGGCTGCTGTAATCCACCATTGTATCCTGTCGGGAGGCCCTGCCCTGGATAGCCAGTTGGATTGGGTGCAGGACTCGAGCCGGAGGGCTTGTTCAGCCAGGAAGTGTATTGGCCGGAGGTGGGGTCGTCGTCGCCTGTGATGTCTGGGTAGCGCGAGAGGGCGTTGGCGGGATGATCGATGAAGGGATTGTTGGAGAATTCGGCGGGCGGTTGTGCAGAATACATGGTCGTAGTCGCAGATCACTCTCTGGGCAACGCCGAGCGAATAGATGGTACTTTAAAATGCGGATGAATAAACGGGAGCCTGCGGAAATGGCGGTGCGGGGGCGACGATGGCCTCCTAATTGGGACAGTCCACCGCGATCACGTGACCGCAATAACTCAAGGGCGCGTCGCGAAGGGACGCGGTGGGTGCATGCCTCGAGATCTTCTTTCGCATCTCCAACTTCATCCGCACTGAAAAGTTTAAACAATATGCTCATTCTGGAAGTAGTTTCTGTACATGGGATTGAACGTCCCGCCTGCTTACCAAGGAACCATCGTTCCTCAGGTTATAATCTAACACAATACAATAGGACAAGAGCGAATGATACAAGGATAGTGGGGATTGCTGCAGCGAGAAACAAAAAAGCCGAAGGAGAGCCAGGTGGCGACCTGTCGCGATACACGCAGTCCGATAACAAAAACAACTCGAGAATTTACCGTTTCCAAGCACTCAGTGATTGAAGCCCGCCTGCCGCATGAGCCTGCGTGCCTTCTTCCGCTCCTGCGCCAGCTGTCGTACTCTCGACCCCTCCCACCCCGAACGCCACGCGTCCGACTGCCACACATCCTTCACCAGCCGTGCGTTCTCCTTCGCCGCACCCACCCGGCCGCGCACCGACTCGGCGAGCCTCCCACCCATCTGCCGCAGCTCCTGGGCCTTCGTCCGCGCCCGCCCGTGCCGGTCCATAACCTGCGCACGCAGCCCATGCGCGATGCCCGTCCAATGCTGCCACCTCGCCGCCGTCTGTCGCCTAATCTCATGCGCAAGCTCACGCAACACATCAACGATATCCTGCAGCTCCCGCACCACGGTCATGCTGACCGCTCGCAGGTCGAAATATTCCGAAACCGAGTCTGCCAGCCGCATGCTCAGCGCATACAGCGGCTCTTCCGCACGCGCGACCGCCTTGCCCTTGCCCTTGCTGTTACCGTGCTCATGCCCGTGTGTCTGCGCGGCGAGCAGCGCAAGGCCCGTCTTGCTGGTGTCGCGGAGCGCGGGCGCCAGCGTGGTGGGTCGGACCATAATGTCCGTCGTGTCCTTGACCTTCCCCGGCCAGCTGACAAGACCGCACCCACAGGCACATTCGTGGGGCGCCTGAGAGACATCGCCAGACGAGGTCGATGCAACCAGAGGCGCAGGCAGCACCGCGAGTGCAAACTCCTTCAGCGACGAAGGCACCAAAGCCGACGACAGCGCCGTCTGACCAGCTAGTGACGCGTTCGCGCTCACAGCGATGTGCCCCACCGGCTGCGATACCCCCGGCTCTGTCGAGATGATCGACGGTCCAAAAGAACGCTTGATCAGATAGCCCAATACCACAGACAATACGGCGAGACTGACGAAAGAAAGTCAGCACGATCAACGTGGAGAGCGGACGGGAGACGCACATCGTCAACGCATGCCTCGACGGGAACGTCTGTGCCGGCTTCCGGTCCGATCTCGCAAACAGCGGTCGCAGGACGCGGGCGACGTATCTCGGAACCGATCGCTCAACCTCTTCCCGCTCGATGACTGTGTAGAACGGTGACAGCCGGGCGACCTTGTTGCGTGGGATGTGCAGCGTCTCCCACTGCTGCTCGGCATCGAATAGCTGGTCGGCCGAATGAGGTACTCCTTCCATGCTGAGCCGCTGCGCCACAACAGGGAGATACAGTGTGTGCTCTGGAAGAGATAAAGGAGGAGCTGGGAGGAAGACGACTGCGAGCGATGGCCTCTCTAACGGAACGCAGCTCGGCTGAAAGAGGATGAAGTCAGGTTCGAGGAGCAAGCGGGATGTGCACCTACCTTGTCACCGTCAGACAGCTCCGTGCGGTCGATCACGGATACGGCGAGGCTCTCGTGGTCCGAGCTCATGAAGCGCACGTATCCGTCGATCAGGCCGACGATCTTCGACGTCAAGACATAATGAGAGCCCTTGGCGGCCTTGTCGAGCAGCTGATCGACGAGAGACCACTTCACGGCTGACGATGCGCCGTACAGGACGACGTAAAAGTCGGGACGCACGTCGTCCTCCGGGACCGCTGGCGTGGCAGGCTCGCCCAGATCTGCAGCCACAGGCGCTGGGCCGCTGTCAGGAGCACTGATCAGGCTAGCGTCTGTCGATACGGTGGGGGCCACGTCAGCTTCAGACGGCGGAGCGACGTCTTCAAACGAGATGTTAAGGGGCTCGTCGCGCGGACTGTTGAGCGGGTCAGGGAATGATAGGCGAAGGTCGCGAGAGTGGACGATGGACGTGTGCGAGCCGCTGAGGGAACTAGAGCCGCGCGAGCCACTGAGGGTGCTCGCCATGCTCTGGTCGAGCGCCTCCCTGACGCGTTGCTCTTCCTCGGGGTCATGCGCCTCGTCGGGGGCCTCTGCGTCGGGAGGAAGTATGTCGTCGCTGCTGAGCGCCACGAGGCGGGTGGTCAGCGCGAGCGGAGCTACGTGTGACTCAACGCCCTCGAGCAATCCCTGCCAGATGTGCACTTCGTCGCGCGAGCTCGCAGCGCTGTTGGTTGATCGTCTGGAAGGCGGTCGGTCGGAACCCAGCTCGCGGTCGCTGTCGAAGCCGACGACCGAGTCAGTGTCTTCCGAGGCTCTGCTACTCGCGACATCCAACCAATCTGAGTCGGACGAGTTCTCAAGCTCTGACAAGGTGTTTGGATCGATGGGTAACGGTCTTGTACGCATGGTCGATAGTATGTCTGCAGGATGTGTGCACGTTGAAAGGGGCAAGCAGGTCTATATGACTGGACGGGTTTGGCGTTGTTTGTAGCTTTGTGAAAGTGCTAATTTGCTTCAAGACGTCCCGGCCGGAGCGTCCTTAATGCACGAGTTCCGGGTGGTCGAGCACGATGATGGGAACAACTTGGTGTCCTCGGCCGCGAGGATATAGTCACCGTTAATTAGCCAGCGTTAATTTACCTATGGAAATCACCAGTAATATATTCAAGAGAGCCGGCTTTGAGAGTAAACTTTGATGGGGAGGAAATTGTGGCTCAAAGTCAATGTTGTCCCAGGTACTGTAAAATTTGTCTGCAATGCTGGCAAACACTTTCTGCCGCTGAAGTAGATTATTGTAGCTATAAACTAGATAAGCCATCTCCGATAATTACCCGGTTAAGCAAGTGGTGGATTTCTCTTCACGCTACGTTTTTTCAATTTACATGAATGAGACCGCCGAAGACGGCCCGGAGATGGTACTCAGTACAAAGACAGATGTGGGGGTGTAGGATGGTCAGAAGGACATGGTCATGATAGTAGAAGGGACCCAATACTGGACAGGTCCGAACGAGTAGAACTTAGAGCTACCCAGGGTCGTGGCCTTCCGGCAGGGCAACTGAGGTTTTTTGGTAGGCATCAGTTTCATCGAGATTAGTGCCAGCACTGCCCAACCTTCCTTGGAGCCCAAGATGATCATGAAGTTGATGAAGGGGGAGAGAGATGGCTGGCAGGTAAAAGTTGGCAACCCTCCCCGGGGATCTGGAGAGGTGAATGGACACATTGGCGGCATGCACTCTCAATGATCCGCGTCGCGAACGACTGGACATCAGAGGCATCTAACGAACCTCTCAAGATCATGTGTTCATGATGTTCGAACAGTTGAGACAAGCTTCAAGAAGTTTCACAGATCTCCGAGTTCGCGAGCCAGTATATACATTGGGTGGCCCTGTCCGCCGATCTAGTGATTAGATTAGATGAACAATAATCAGATAAGATAATATCCAACACGGAAGTGCCGATGCCAGCGCAGTTGAGGCGACCACCGGGTATCCCGCTACAGTCTCCTGCTTGGGAGTTCATTGGTTGATGAACACGCATTCAGCTGACAGCAAAATGTTATTCCGCCTGATAGAGTGAACTCGGAACAGCCACGACGGAGGGTTCCTCCGGTCATCGTATATAACAACTCGAGATAGCTCGCCATTCTGACTCACACTCCTCTTTCCATCACCATGATCCATGGGTCTCACTAGTCTACCTGAAGATGTCCTGCTGGACATAGCCTCGTTCCTATCGGTGTTTGACCTACTCTCGCTGAAGCAAGTGCGTTCTGCCGTTCTGCCTGATATTCCGCATAGTGCTCGATATTACATTATGACTGACTGCGTCACCAATCACAGACCTGTCGCGCTCTGCATGCGTTTGGATCGTCGGATTACTTATGGCACAACTTGGCCGATCAGCTGGAACTACCCCTCGATGTCCCTCCAGGGATCACCATCAAGTCATTGTCGCACGATGAACTGCAACAGATCGTGATCAAGGCCATTCGCTTGGAAGTGAACTGGCGTGAAAGAACGCCCTCGGCAAAGCGCATAACGCCGCTCGTTTGTGACACGGACGAACCATATGTCGACGAAATGCAGTTTTTGCTGGGAGGAAAGTGGCTGTTGACAGCGCAGCGTCATCGTCAGGTGGAACGACGCTGGCACTCGCGAATCGTCTTGTGGTCGCTTGAGGACGTGCAAGACGCCTACCGAGCTGCTACCATTGAGCTGCCCGGCGCATATAGGAGCTCGACATTCGAATTGCAGAAAGGAGGGGAGTCCGTTACGTTAGCAGTCGGCATGAACGATGGAGCAGAGTGAGTCGGAGTGCATACTACTCTTTCGCATCAAGTCTAACCTATGAATAGCGTGATTATAATATACTCCGTCGACCTGCGAGACCGTCCCGAGTTCTCTTACTTTGCTCCTCCTGCACCTTCTCCACTTAGGAGGATATCCCTACCTGGCCATCCCCGTGCCCCGAATATACGCCCCGTAATACATCAACTGGCTATTTCTGAAGGTCGCATCGCTGCAACTGTGGTAGTTCCGGGAGGGAATTGTTCATTGCAATTGTTCGTCGCGGACACGCGGACCATGTTCTCTGGTTGGGTTCACCCCCGATATTTCGAGGTAAGTGATACGAATGCCGTCTTTTCTACACGTATTGTACCCTAACAGCCCAAAACAGTCATTCTCCAATTTGTGGGTACGCTTGTATGAAGGATTTCTGCTTCTACTCGGCACCATGCACTCAAGACTCGGCACCATGCACTCAAGGCTCGTACTCCGAATTTACAATATCCCCACCAAGCGACGTGCTGGTATGCTCCAGCCAATCACAGACAATCACAGCGACGATGAAGACCATCGCTTTGTCGACCTCGGTCCTGTCGTTGCCGAGTTCGAGCAGCCTCTGCGAGCAGACTCGGAGATTCATGACATCAGCCGCGTCTCAGTTCCGTCAGCTTCCTGCCTCTCGGTCATGATCTTTTACTCCTTCCACGACTCTTCCTCCGGCATCGGTCAGGTCACGCGCTTCCGTCTTCCGCCCTCCGCAAGAGAGGATAATGGCGGTGTCTCGGGTGCCACAAGCTACTTCCCCATGCCACCACACGTATCTGCGCAGCTAGCGCAGGTCGGCCCTGGTGGGCGTGCGATTTGGTTAGAGCATAATTGGGAGACGCAAAACAAGAGGATTATGCGGTATCAGCCAAGAAAAGGGGCCAGAGTTGGACTGCTGATACCTTCAGACCCAGCGCTGCCATTCACGCCAAATATCTGCCACTCGCTTGCGTTCGACGAGGTCACGGGGCGGGTTTGCCTAGGGCTATTTAATGGCGATGTCTATGTTTTGGATTTTGTATGAAATTAAATAATGCTGCTCCAGTACGTAGTCGGTGATGACATTGTCTGCTGTACGTTGGTGAGTGTCCATGGGAGGGATAGGTTATCCGTGCACGCTGACTTCTCATCATCTGTATCTAGCAAAGCGCATATAGCGACTGCACTGATACAAGAGAGATTCAGCTAAAGACGAGGTTCAGTACATATAAGCGGTCAACGGGTTTCTGTGGGAACGTCGACGCCGTGCGCTCAAGTTGTGCCGACGAATATCTCTGCCACTGTGAGTACGGTAAATGGCTAGACAGCGACGGTCCTCGACGTACTTCATTTATAGACAGCATATACGGTCGCCTAGGTGAGTGCCGACTTCCAGCGATACTATGGACCGATCAGCGACACGAAGGTTCTGAATGCCTTCACTGGGAATTAAGTAACATCTAATAAGGCTTGGTGGAATCACTTCGAGCTCCAGACCGACGACGCCGCTCGTCTTGCACGGAAGCATAGTGGCACTGCCGGCAGCGTGGAAGCAAACGTTGCCACCATTTCACAAATATTCCATTCGAGGATCCATGGGTGCAAAATGTCACATTAGCCTTCATCAGGCTGTATCATATAGTGTCTTCTATACCCAGTCAGTGCTCTGTACCTGTAAGGTCTTCGTTGCTCGACTTCACCTGTATTGGTGTCCACAGCGGCTGCCAAAGTGATGTATAGCATGAAATAAAATCCCAGACGTACGTAACCGGTGACCATGACTCGTGCATCCGTTACAGGGCTTTACCATATTCTACGCATTTCTACTTATGCATCAGATGCCAGAGACATGCGTGACGGTTCGTTCATCTGTCATCCAACTCGATTATAAACGAACGTAATGTAAATGGTCGCTTCATCGCTTGGCGTAGCGTAGGAAACGCGACGCGACTAGAAATTTCGGTCTGGGTGAGCGTGTGTTCAGGGTTCAGTGCTGCGCCACTTACTGATGGTCATAATGATATTGAATACTGCAATAAAGATTGTCAGTGTCAGACAAAGCAGAGATGGAGACTATGCACATACTGCAGAAAGAAAACAGGATGAACGCATCTCTCCATCGATCGGAGTACTTGATGTTCAGTGGCTCAAAGAATTGGTCACCAACCTGATCAATGGCTACCATCAGTCTGTCTCAACGACTTCAAAACGCGAGCACATACAGAATATTGACAGTAATGACATGAACTGGTTGCGTTCGGGTTCTCCAGATACCCGCCGTAGGAAGAGACGAAGGTGCCTGCCCATTCCTGGCAGGTTTGCCCGGAAGGCGGGTTGAAGACCGTAAACTCTTCGCTCTGGCATTGAATCGCTAATCCGCTGGCAGAAGGGTTTTCGTGAGCGGGAGCAGCCAGCGCGTGGTATACGGACATACCGCAACTCCGTGGACAACATCGAGCTGAGCGTACGAGTGTACGGATCGAGCTGATACAGCCACGACCGCCAGAATTTCTCCATCGTGGGATATGGAAACGTGACTCCACAGAAGGTACCCAGGACAAGAACAATAAACGGATTGAAGAGAGGTGCAATCTGTATGTCCCAACGTGAGCATTGTATCATCTCGTAACGAGATGAGTACAGACCTGCATGCTGGGAGATATTGCACCGATGAGCTGACCCAAGGTCACGCCAAACAGCTCCATGAACAGGGTGATCAGGAACTGGAAGAAAGTCCCTCTCACTCCGGCCGAACCTTGGCCGAATCCCATCGGATAGACCTGTCAAGGAATCCGTGTCAGTCCACCGTTAGATGTACAGTGACGGAAGCTCACAGACCATCAGAACCCAGTAAACAATAGCGCAAAGAACAGAATATGGCATCTCCCCAATAAGCTGCGCGATGGCGAACACATATGGGGAGTATATCCTACTGGACGCCTCTGCATCACATAGTGTAAGCGCTTAGTAACTCGAAAACGATCACCCTGAACTGACCTCGAATGAAAATCCCTGGATACCATTTTTATCAGTCAGTTAATCTGATGGAATGGACCGTATGTACGCACGCCTATTCAAAATCCACATTGGCTCCAATTGACCCATGACAATAGCCGGAAGAATAGTCACCCAGAAACTATTCGGCACATTAAGCAGCGCGAGAAGGACGGACATGGAAACACGCACATGCCGAAGACCCGATATTGCAGGTCACGAACGCTGGTGCCTAATCGCAGGAACGGCAGCGAGACAAACAGCGAGATGAAGGCATGCACGAAGAGACGACTGAACACATAATCCGGCGACCTCCACAGCATCGTGTTATTTCGCTCAACAACCACCTTCAGCTGATACCAGAACGGCGCAGCATCTATGGTACGCAAAGATTAGCATGAAGGAATGCAGCGACTGCAATAAAACTTACAGGTAGCGGGTTTATCGTTCTCATTAACGGCTTTGGCCAAAGCCGCCCGCTTAATCAGGTCAATTTCTGTCCTTGCCTCTGCATACTCAGGAGAGTCCAGCCACACGTCTTTCCAATCACAATCGCCGATACGAGGGGCTAGTCCGGCTCCAATGGCATCCAACATGAACTATAAGGCGGAGAGATGGGAGTTCAGTAGCCTTCACGATAAACCAATATTTGGTGAACTCACTTCAGCTGGATTGACGTTAGGCGGGCAAACCGCTCCATAGCGAGCAAAGTACTCCCGCAGAACGTAGCAATCAGGACCGATGCCGCCAAAGTAAACCGTCTCACCGCCCTTCTCCAGGAGAAGCAGCTTGTCGAACGTCTGGATTAGCATCGAGGACGGCTGGTGGATAGTGCACAGAATCGCCTGCCCACTGTCTGCGAGCTTCCGTAGGAAACGAACGAGATTCCACGCGCTCTGCCCGTCCAATCCTGATGTTGGCTCGTCCAGGAACAGCAACGATGGCTTGCTCGCCAGCTCCACCCCGATAGTGAGCCGTTTGCGCGCCTCCACTCCGAGACTGTACACCACTGCATCGGCCAGGTCCTGCAGCTCCAGCACTTCGATCATCTCCTCGACGTAGGCGTCCTTCTCTGCCTTCGGCACATCATAGGGCTGCCGGAGGTATGCGGAGAACCTCATGGCCTCTCGGACGGTAGCAGTGCCTTCATGGACATCCATTTGCTCGGCTGGAAGAGCGCTATTCAGCAACTTCGCATATTTCCTAGCTCATATGTGTTCGCGCACCATAAGCAGTCTTGCGCGCGAAGTCTGTTCCCAGCGGACGGCCGTCGAGAAGCAGTTCTCCAGTCACGACCCCGATGTTCTTGCGTTGTGCCAATACATCCAAACAAGTCGTCTTGCCTATTCATGCAAGGATTGAGTGACCCTTCGGACGGCATTCCGACAAGAATTGACCTACCTGCACCGGACGAGCCCATGAGAGCAGTCAACGTACCCGGCTTGCAATAGCCAAACACATCGTGCAATAGCCTGAGCGAGCCGCCAGCTACGGGGACACGGTAATTGATGTTCTCCCAAGTGAACGTCTTGCTCTCAAAGTCGAAGTTGCCGTCACTGCCATACCTGGTCAGTACCAGCTCTCGTAGCTGAAGTTCAATCAGGCACACCTTTTGTTTCCCCCAACTCTCTCAATGTCAACACCCTCCTTGCTCTTGCCCTCTCGCTCTGCCTTGCGTGCCCGCAGACGAGCATTCAGTGCTTTCCGTTCGTTGTTCTCCTTGGCGTGGATAGTCACAGCCGCAGCACCGTAGAATTGCTGCGCGACATAGGGATAAATAACGGAGCTGCTACCACTGAAAAATAAAAACAAGCAGACGTACAGGATAAAATTCGACGAGAAGAACCTGTGTAAGCTGGAACAGCAAGAAAAATCCAACAAGCACCAGGAAGTTCTCGCGCCAGAGATTCGAAACATCGAGTTGGTATCCAGCATCGACGTACGACCGGCCAGGGATCGTGCTTTGCCCTGATGTACCACCATACAGCGTGCAGGCCTGGTTTATTCCGAGGTAGTCACTGACATAGAAAAATCAGATCATCTCGCTCCGCGAATCTCGATCGGGGCACTCACGGATACTTGCTTGATCCTGGAGGGTTACGCGGGACAATGTAACTGCCATCGCAATCCAACTACCATGACTGAGCAAAACGCGCAACGGATAGAGATAGGACTGAACGTACGGATATGCGCATAAATTCGTTCTCCATGTTTGCACCCCAGCCTGAACACCAATAAGTGCTTGGCCATCAGCAGATTCTCAGATGCCTACCGTAAGATATCGGATTAATATAGTACTGCGTGCAGAAATTAGCGACTGCAGGCCAGCATGCTAAACAGATACGTACGATCCAGAACAGCCAGCGCTTCATCTGAAAGACAGGAATCATATAACCAGCATACAAGATCATGTTCGGCAAGAAAAACGTCGCGAGGCGGAACGCCGAGTCGAAGTTGGTGCACATGAATCCGAACGTCCTGAAGAAGCCTTGCATCGTCAAGAACGTGATGTACGTCTGCACATACGTCAGCATATCCACAATCCATGCGCGAAGAGAATATTGCTCACAAAAAGATGATACGTCCAGAACCCGCCTGCCGACCGCGCGAGGTGCGCCATGAAGTAGATGATCACGTTGTAGATAAAGACCCTCGTTGCAGAGAATGGGATATCCGCTAATGTGTTGGCGATAGCTATCGCTGCCGGTCTATACAAGCCATAGCTCGTCTGCAGACAGTAACAATCAGAGATTACTGCCTTTAGGACTGGGAAATCATAGCAACCTGCTTCTTGATGATGGGCCGACCAAGCATCTGCACGGGCATCTAAACAGATCACAAAACATGAGCTGAGCCAGTATAAATATATCAGCCGACCGCATACCTCTCCGAAAGTATCCAAACAAGTAGTAAGCATCGCAGCGAAGACGACCGACCCCCTCGTAAACGCGCCTGCCGCATCAGGCTTGAGGTCAAAATACGCCGCCCCAATGATCAGCGCCAAGATCTACCGCACCGCTCGGTCAGCAAAGTCACCGAACCCATTCACGGGGCTCACACTCACAGTATGCAGCGAGTAGCTCGTGATCAGCTGGAACCGGTCTTGCACACGCATCTGGAACTGGCGCATCGTGAGCGCGCGCACCTGGTTGATGAACCCCTGCGTGTACGGGCTTTTCTTCGACACGCCGCGCTTCTTGTCTGCCGCAACCGCCGCGCGGAATGCCTCCTGGTCCGCCTTGTCGTACTCCATAAGCAGCTTGTAATCTGCGAGCGAGGCGTGCATCTCGTGCGCGAACGACGACTGCAGGAACGCTTGCTCTAGCGCTTCAGGCGTGGTCGGGACGTCCGCCTCCGAGCGCCCCTCAGCGAACTGTCGCTCGTTGGGATCCGTGCAGCCGGTGAGGTAGTCGGCCGTGCTCTGGCGCGGGAGCGGCTTGTAGCCGAGCCCTTCGAAGTATGCGCGAGCGGACGAGGGCGGACCGAAGTACACCTGGCGGCCTTTGTCGAGGACAAGGACCTTATCAAAGAGCTCATA